TAATTACCATGTTTATTGTTTTAATTGAATACAGCCTTTCTTGTGGAAATATCTTCATATTTTAATATTCACTACTAGATGGATCTGTAGCTGGCTGGCAAACTGTACTCAACGAGTACTCAATCCACATGGAGAGAAGTAAGCAGCGGAGTACCACAAGGTTCCATCTTAGGCCCAGTACTCTTCAATATCTTCATAAATGATTTAGATGAGGGAATTGAAGGGGAACTCATCAAATTTGCAGATGACACCAAACTGACAGAAGTAGCCAACATCCAAGAAGACAAGCTCAGGATCCAAAAAGATCTTGACAAACTTGAACAATGGGCCCTATCCAACAAAATGAGTTTCAATGTGGAGAAAAGCAAAGTTTTACATTTAGGCAGGAAAAATCAAAGGTACAAGAAAAGATTGGGCGAGACCTGGCTCAAAAACAGTAACTGTGAGAAGGACTTTGGAGTCCTAGTGGACGATCACTTGACTATGAGCCAGCAGTGTGCAGCAACAACCAAAAAAGCTAATACAATCCTGGGTTGTATAGACAGGCATAGAATCAAGATCATGTGAAGTATTAGTACCGCTTTATAAAACCCTAGTGCAGTGATGGTGAACCTTTTAGAGACCGAGTGCCCAAAAACTGGCACCGCCCCTGCTCCGCCCCACCCATCCCCCACCCCACCTGTCTGCAGGGCCACTCACCGCCTCCAGGGCCTGCTGCAGATCGCCCAGGCAGCCCAGCAGCGCCATGGCAGCCACGCCCTCTGCCCGCACCCCACAGCATCAACTGTGCGGGACGGGGCGTGAAGGCAGAGTCTTGTCTATGCTGCCTGGCTGCCATGTCCTTGGCTGCGCTACTCCGTGTGGGCCACACTCAGGGACGACTCTCCTCCAGGAGTCTGCTGGTGAGGGGGGAGGCGAGGCGGGAGCAACGGCACATGTGCCCACAGAGAGGGCTCCGAGTGCCGCCTCTGGCACGCGTGCCATAGGTTCGCCACCACTGCCCTAGTGAGACCACACCTGGAATACTGCAGCCAATTTTGGTCACCATATCACAAAAAAGATGTTGAGAATTTGGAAAAAAATTCAGAGAAGAGCAACTAAGATGATCAAAGGCCTGGAGACTAAAACATACAAAGAACGGCTGCGGGACCTGGGTTTGGCTAGTCTAAAGAAAAGAAGAAATAGGGGAGACATGATAGCAGTGTTCCAGTATTTGAGGGGCTACTACAAAGAAGAGGGGGTCATGTTATTCACCAAAGCACCAGAGGGAAGGATGAGAAACAATGTTGGAAACTGATCAAAGAGAGAAGCAACCTGGAATTAAGGAGAAACTTCCTAATAGTGCGGACAATTAACCAGTGCAACAGCTTGCCTTCAGCCGTGTACGCTCCATCACTGGAGGTTTTAAAGAAGAGACTAGACAGTCACTTGTCTGAGATGGTATAGGTTCTCCTGCTTGAGCAGGGGGCTGGACTAGAAGACCTGCAAGGTCCCTTCCAGCTCTATTCTATTCTAAATAAAGCCATCTAATCGTTGGCTTTAGTGATCAGTTCTGATAATAAACTGGTATTTTACAGCAGGGGTTCCCAATATTGGCAATTTTAAAATGGGTGGATTTCAACTCCCAAAACTTCCCAGAGCGCCATGCTGGCTGGGGAATTGTGGTCGAAATGCACAGGTCTTTAAGTTGCCAAGATTGGGAACCCCTGTTCTACAGACATAAATACTCGGAAATTAATACTGGCAATATCAAGATACCCTAAAAAAGTCAAGCAAAGTAGATTGACTGAAAACAGGCATTAACACACTTTTAAATCTCCAAGAATGAAAGGAAGATTTAAAACCAATTTCAAATGTATTTCCTGAAATTTTTGTTAAATTTAATAAAAGCTTCTTCCTTTTTCCTGCATGTTTTTAGAACCTTATTTTCTTCTACCTCATTCTTTAGTGGAATTTTTGAATTTAGAACACTATTATAATAAAGTGATGGATGGCATTGTTTTCTATTCTGTATTGTCTCCAACATTATGTATTCTCTTCTCTTGCTTTTTTTTTTAATACAATCTCTTTTTATTCAGCTTGAATGAGAGAGGTTGAAAATCAGCAGAAGAAAATTTTGGTACAGCAATAATGAGAACATATTTGATATATAACTCACTAGAACATTTAGAGCAAATGTTGGACTCTGTTCCGCAGAACACAGCTGGCAGTACAATGGTCTCTGGAAATTTCAAGAGGCCGTTGAAAGTTAAGTTATAAACATCAGAAAAAAATTAAATCAAGAGTAATTAGACAAGTGTAATTTCCAGGGATTTGGAGAAAAACAAAACAAAATAGAAATTTGAGAAAATAAATATATGGAACATTTTTTCTTATCAGACCTAAATGTAAATGATTGTATTGGCTTAATATAAAAGGTATCTTTTGTTTATGCTACATTGGTATATTTATTTGATATATAAGACAACTTTGTTCATATTAAAAACCTTGACCAGGTGGCTTTCACATAAGATTATTTTGGCTTTATTCCAAAAACCTTGTTTAATGGAATTTACTCCCAAGTAAATTGAGAATATGGTATTCTTGAGGACGCAGTCTTGAAAACTAGCAGATTCCAATTTGAATTGCAGGAAGAAGTAATCAGGATATCGTCCACTTTTGCTAATACATCACGGATAGCAAGACCACAGCAATCTGAATCTTTGAATTGAGGGAGTTCTTAGGGCTACTATCACAACTCCATTGACAAGAAAAAACTCAAATGCAGGTAGTCCTCAAGTTACACTATTCATTTAATGACAGTTCAAAGTTACGATGGCGTCGGAAAAAGTGACTTATAATAAGTCCTTGAAATTATGACTGCTGCACCAGCCCTACAGTTATGAGATTGCAATTTGGGCATTTGGCAACTGGCTCACATTTCCGATTGCAGTGTCTTGTGATTACGATTTGTGACCTTTCCAGACGGATTCCAACAAGCTAAGATAATTGGGGAAGCCAACTCTGTCCATTCGTCACTTAGCCATGTGATTCTCTTAACAACCATGGTAAAAATGATCATAAAATGGTGGCCATATGATGACTCACTTAACAACTGCATTGCTTAGTAACCAATTTTCCCAATTGTGGTTGTGAATTAAGAACTACTGGTATATGCTGTTAGAGATCTGTTACATTTTTATTCATGCTCTGCATATAACCTTCAGTCATTTAGCCTTATAAAAAAGGATGGAACCTTTTGAGGATCTCAATAAAATACCTTCAGTTTGTACTTCAGAATGATCTTCCTCAATCTGGTATCCTATAGAATAGATGGCCAATAGTATTTTAGGCACTGACCTTTTGCCCTCTGTACTCAAGTCTGCGGAATGTCATTATTTGGGGAATAGCTACAGAAACACTTACTGAAATAAATTCACAGCATGTATTAGGCAATCCTTTGTATGAAGCAAACTTTCGTACAAGTCAACCATTTGTTTAGTGACCATTCAAACTTACAACAGCACTGAAAAAAGTGACTGTTTTTCACACGTATGACGTTTTTCACACGTATGACAGTTGCAGCATCCCCGTGATCAAAATTCAGATGCTTGGCAACTGGCATGTATTTATGATGGTTGCAATTTCCCGGGATCATGTCATTACCTTTTTCAAAGTCAATGGGAAGACAGCTTCACTTAACAATCATGTGACTCATTTAACAACTGCAGTGATTCACTTAATAACTATAGCAAGACAGGTTGCAAAATGGGACAAAGCTCACATAACAACTGTCTCGCTTAGCAATGGAAATTTTGGGCTTGATTGTGGTCATAAGTTGAGGACTATCTGTATTGGACCAATGCCACTTCTACCCCACCTCCTCAAAAGATCTCATAATGTAGCATTTGTGTTCTGGTATTTGTACAATACAATGTTCCCTGCATAGTTTTAGGAGATTTCTAATAGTCTCCTAGAAGAAGAGAAGCAACTTGTCTATATAAAAATTTAGTAATAATGTTTCTTGTTACTGTTTAGCATCTATTTTTTACTAGTAGTAAACATGTAAGAGAATGGGAAGGGCTCATTGTTAGGCTATTATTTCAGTACCAAAAGTCTAATAAATGGAAGTGATTGATTAATTTGGACTGTGGCTAATCTTTTTACAAAGCTTAGGGTTGAAAAAAGTTTTCATGTAAGTGAATCAGAGTATATGTGAAATACCCAAATAAAATCTCAAGATTATTTTTTTAAATATGAATCCTAATGGGGATATATGGATCTCTTGAATATTATTGGCCCATATGTTTTATGGATGTACACATTTTTTGCCTACCAATCTTCCCAAAATACAATGAATAAGTAGATTTAGATACTCTCTTGATTGCATTAATAAGATTCATAAAGCGAAACTTAGAATTGTTAAGATATTTCATCCCGTTCTGTTATTTTCCTTTACAGATTATAAACTTGGGTTTTTAGAACCTGCTCTTTTGCTTATATCAGTCATAATGTCATGTTTGTTAATGGACTGTAATTAATTGCTAGTATTATCTTTTCATCTTTCATAATTACAAGCTACATTACTTTTTATGATGTTCAGCGTGAGCTTTTCTATTAGCTGTCTTCTCATGAACAGTGAATTTTCTGTTGAATAAAAACACTGGTTACAATAGCATTTGAAAGATATTTTATTTTATTTTGTGTCTATATGCACGCACGCGCAAATAGAAACACACTCCTGTGTAACTATTTAGGAATAACAGAATAAAAGAGTTGGAAGGGAACTTGGAGGTCTCTAGTCCAATCCCTTGCTCAGGCTACCATTTCAGATAAATGGTTGTCCAATCTCTTCTTAAAAACCTCCAGTTTTGGCACACCCACAACTTCTGGAGGCAAGTTGTTCCACTGATTAATTGTTCTATCAGGAAATTTCTCCTTAGTTCTAGGTTGCTTCTCTCCTTGATTAGTTTCCATCCATTGCTTCTTGTCCTGCCATTTTATTCCCAGATTAATGATCCATGTATAATGCTATCGTCTATGTTGTCTTCAACATTGATGAAAAGTAATGAAGAATAATGCTGAATTTTTAATAACCCCCCCTTTTTTTTTACTTTTGCTAGAATAAAGATGGCAGCTATTATCCAGGAGAGTCCTAGAGTTGGAATCTCATGTTCAAATTCTGATGCCGATGAAGAACTTTCTTATCTACCTGAGAAGCTAAAGGAAAAGCTGCTTCCTTTTCAGAAGAAAGGAATTTTATTTGCACTAGAAAGAAGTGGCAGGTAAAATTACCTTAAAGATGAGTAGTCATAAAATTGTTTCCAAAATACAGCCTCTGGCCTACTGGGTTGAATGGAAATTCTGTACAAATGTTTACTGAAGTTTTGGATTTGAAATATTGGGTACTATTAATGTCAAATTGTTGAAACTGAACCTAAACTTAATTCTGGTTTTTGAGTTTGGATTCCAAATCATTGGTCTGTCAATAGCGGTCATTGATCAAGCTTGACATTTTATTCATTCATTCATTCATTCATTCATTCATTTATTTAACAAATAATCTAAGGTCCTTGATCAAGCTTAGTATGTTATTTATTTATTTATTTATTTATTTATTTATTTATTTATTTATTTATTTATTTATTTATTTATTTATTTATTTATTTATTTATTTTACAAATAATCTAAGGTGACGATTATACCCAATAAACTTATTTTCCCCACAACAACAATCCTGTGAGGTGGGTTGGGTCTCTGAGAGAGAATGACTGACCCAAGGTCACCCAGCAACTTTCATGGATAAGACAGGACTTGATCTCACGATCTCCCACTTTGTTGCTGAGGACTTAACCACTAGACCAAACTGGCTCTCTATATATTTCTGTTTATTTTATTATAGATACTTAAAATACAATCAAGGTTAAATTTTTTTTTAGAAAAAATAGAAAAGAGATTTGCAGATGGTATAATAAGACTGAATAAAAAATGCAAAGTAATGTTAGATCAGTATTGTTTTTTAAAGTAACTTGTATCACTTTAAAAGACCACACCTGGAATACTGCAGCCAATTTTGGTCACCATGCCACAAAAAAGATGTTGAGAGTTTAGAAAAAATTCAGAGAAGAGCAACTAAGATGATCAAAGGCCTGGAGGCTAAAACTTTTGAAGAACGGCTGCGGAACTTGGGTTTGTCTAGTCTAAAGAAAAGAAGAAATAGGGGAGACATGGTAGCAGTGTTTCAATATTTGAGAGGCTGCCACAAGGCAGAGGGGATCAAGTTGTTTACCAGAGCACCAGAGGGAAGGACAAGAAACAATGGTTGGAAACTGATCAAGGAGAGAAGCAACCTGGATTTAAGGAGAAACTTCCTGACAGTGAGAACAGTCAACCAGTGGAACAGCTTACCCCCAGAAATCGTGTGCGCCCCATCACTGGAAATCTTTAAGAAAAGACTAGACAATCACCTGCCTGAGATGGTGTAGGTTGTCCTGCTTAAGCGGGGGGCTGGACTAGAAGACCTCCAAGGTCCCTTCCAGCTCTATTCTATTACTATTACTAAAAGGTTGAGTCAATCTACAATAATTAACAACAAATTCCAGTATACTATAAATCATAGATCAAAGTGAAGAATTAACAAAGAATTCTAGGTAACAAAAATTCAATCCTTATTTAGTAAATTAAACAAAATCTTAAGTATTAAAACAGTAAGAGAAACCCAATTTTGGGAGGTAGTATATGGCTGTAGAAAGAACTAAACTATGAATGGTTTTCAAATTAAATTTTGTTTCAGAATTGTTCTGCAAATACAAAGTTGTTTTTACATTGATGCATACTCCCATGTCTTAAAGTGGTATTCTTCTATAGAAAAGATTATAAGCAATTTTCAGTAAAAAGCATGAAGTGTCCTGGCAGTTCTTAGCTGTTAGCAGATTTATATGGAAATATAAGAATTTTTAAAATTTGTTCAATTCTGTCATAAATAATCTTCCAGAATTGTTGAGCATAGTAATATTTCCATCAAATGAAAAAGTAACTGTCAAGAGTCAATTTTTTCTTCTTATTTGGATACTGGAGCTGGCGGTTGACAGTAATTTAAACTGATTATTGCATTTCCAGTATTTTTTTTTAGAAAATTGATTGTCTATTGTAGCAGCCAGTAGTAGAATAATATTCCAATGATAAAATATCTTGTAAGTCTGTTATTCACACTAAATTTAATATTAATATTTCCATTAATATTCCCATTATTGCATATCATCCTGTTTAAATTTTGTACCCATTTATTCATAGTCTTTGACTTGTTCAGTTTCTGAATTATATTCCACTGACAATTTGTCAGTAACCTCCCCAAAAGTTACGAATCTGGCATTACAGGTTTTTCAAATTCAATTTTATCAAAAAATATCTGACCATTCAACCCATTACAGCACAACTGACACAAGCTATGAAAAGGATAGCATTGCCATACATCAAAAACATTTCAGAAACAACAGACTCTTACAACCACACGGCTTCACTGTGGTACACAAACCAACTAAAGAACTCCAAAATATCTTGTTAAAAAAAAAAGACCCATTAGCCACAGAAGAAAAAATAGGAGTCCTGTACAACATACCGTGTAAGGACTGTAACAGCTGCTGTCTAGAACAAACATGCAGAAGTCTAGCAAAGTGCATCCATGCACATTAATTAGTATAAGAAGACATGACGAAAATTCCACAATTTGACAATATATGGACAGACTTGTTGGGAAACTGTGAGCGTCCTAGACCAAGCTAAATGCAAAAACTCTAGGGAATTATTCCTAGATGCTTGGCACTCAGACAGATCAGCCATCAACAGGCACAGAGAGATAAAAAACATTTAAAAGAGACAATAAAAAAGCTAAAAGGGAAACAAGGCCACAACACCACCTTGCCTGCAATCAACACTCAAAACAGCAGGAATCAAATCTTGGATTAACACCAGATAAACAAGCAGTAAACTATACCTTAATCAAGGAACTACCAACGCAGATGAACAGTCAAACAGTAAACAGCAGCCTATCAAAGGAATTACAAAGGAGAAAACAATACCCTCACAGGTTAAGCTCTGTTTACTACATTTACAGTATATAAACAGATATAAATGTTTATAAACAGATGTTTATATAGTATGTAAACACAGAGCAAACCCTACTCCCTTCTAGCACTGAGGTTGTTACCTACCTGGGTGACAAAATGTCTGCAGGAAAACAACCAAGCTCATATTGCACCATGAGTTCCACATTGACCTTTTGCTTTATCAGCTAGCTAAGATGTCAGTCTGCTGAATTCAATGGGGAATTTGGAGGGAGGGCTGGTTTGTAAAGACATGAATCAATAGCCTAGAGCCAGAATATCTTAAGGAATACTATCTCTCTTATGCAACTGGTCAAGTTTTTTTTAGTCTTCAGAGACTCACCAAGTGCCTCCAGTGAAGTGAGGCAAGGGAATATAAGGAATAGGATTTTTTTCTTTAATTGTAAGGCCTGGTTTATGTAATGCTTTCCCCAGGAAAGCACACCTGTTACTCATCCAAAAATGTGTTTTTGATACAAGGCAAAGGTTTTCTTCTCCTCCCTAGCAATTTGGTAATTTTGTACTTCATTTTAAGTGGGTGCTGTATACTAGAATGAGGAATTTTATGAGACTGATGTCTTTGCTGTGAATTTTTAATTATGTTTTCTTGGGTTTTTTTATTTTCTGAACTTTTTAGTGCTTTTTGAGATTTAATAGTTTAAGAAACTTTGTCAGTCCTCCCGAAGATTTCAGTCATTAGATGGATTGCAAGTATTACCAATAGTAAAAATAGAAAAGTACCCCATACTGCTGTCAGACTGATAGTTCTCATTAGCACCACATTCATTTTGAACATTCTATATTTGTGTCATTTGAGGCTCTATTTTTGGCAAGGTACTGTTGCAAGACAAGTCATTTTGTTTCAGAATTAGGACTGCATCGTGTGATTGGTGACATATAAATGAAATGGTAGCTTGAACATTTTAAAATGTACCAGGTTCACATTCTTTAAATAACTCCAGTATGAGAAAGATGTTAATGCTAAAGTACTGCCTTGTGTATGGGATGCAAATTATATGCTGGAGTGTTATATAAAACTGATTCACATGAGTGGGCGAAAATCCTAGGAAAATCTGGAGCTCCAAATTAAAGAGAAACAGAACTCTTCCTCTGTTACAGAATGTTCTGCAGTTAGAATGTGTAAGCACTGTTAATTAAAAGGTGAAGGGGATCCATTGATATTAAATCAAATTTGCTTTTGCTTTATTATTCTTACTTTTGTGTTTGCTTTTGATGTCTCTCTTAAACTGTCCTCAATTGTTAGGACCTCATATCAGAAAACATGGAAAGCTGAGATATAAATGTTTTCAATTAATTACCATGCTGAACAAAATAAAATTCCATTTTTAAAAATGACAGCTTATGATTCATGTGCATTGTAAATGATGGTCCATCTTTTTATGTGTGCTTGTCTAAAGGCTGGATCACCAATTTCTTAGGACAAAATCACGTCCCCTCTTAATTTGTGAAAACTGTATTGTGAATCATAGTTGATGGCAGTTCAGCTTTCATGAAACACAAGTCCTGAATAATCCTTTTCACGTGCATTCAGTTTGTGCAACATAATTTCTTATTTTGCAAAACAGCAGCTGTGTGTTTTCTTGTGCTATATTGCAAGTTGGCTTTTACAAACTTGGGGACTATGTATTTGCTTTAATTATCCTTTCCAAATAAACTATTAAAGTGAATGTGAGTAGTCCAGAAGCTAGAATAATGTGCTGGAATTTGAGAAATGTATTTTCACATCTGTGTCTCCTTAATTGAGCAGAGTTCCTGTAAGTATCTCCATTTATTTTTAATGGTTTGGTAGAGATAAATATGATAAATTACAAAGATGGCCTTTTTTTCACTTTAGAGAGAAACTAAGCTGTGTACATTCAACAAAAAACATGAGCCTCCTTTGGTAATTTAGTGTCTTTAGAAATAGACCTATGCAATTTAGAAACTTTGTCTTTAATGTAAACGCTTGAGGACTTGCATGTATATAAGGGTTAGCATTTGTAGTTTCTTGACCAACAGTTTTGATTTGCTGAAAATATTGGGAATTGCAGTCCCATCACATCTGGATGGCACAAGATCAGAGATCTGGCCTAAGGGAGAGTTAATAAACTCAGTGGTTCTCAGTGCAAAAACCATGTGAGACTTATATTCACTGAAATGTATAAAAACAATGACTATAAAGTAGAATACAGCTGTTTGTCTTTTACATTTGTGCATACTTTCATTACATCTGTATTCCACAAATCAATGTGTTCAACTTGTTACTGTAATATCGTTACTCTTTCTGGAAAATGAAACAATATTTTAGGTATATAATATATCTTGTTGTGGCATGTGACTTCAGTATGAGCCTCCTTTCATTTTTCCCCCCAGGGCTACCATTTAAGAATATAGAGATAAAGGGAGTAAAATACTTTCTCAGAAATTAGTTTCATTGGGAGTTAGTGTGCATAGTGATGAAAATGTAGAGCTAAGAGCTGGGCTTTTGGATTTAAATCAGAAAGAGTCTTTGGAGATTCCAAGGGCCATTTACTGTCTCTGAGCATTATCAATCCCATATAATGGTTGCTATAGAACAGTGATGGCAAACCTTTTAGAGACCGAGTGCCCAAACTGCAACCCAAAACCCACTTATTTATCGCCGGGTGCCAGGTGGGCGTGGCCCACTGGGTGGGTGTAGCTGTGGTGGTCACGGCAGACTGGGTGGGTGTGGTCACCTCAATGTTGCTCATGGGGAGGGATGCCTGTGGGGGCCGGGCAGGGTTGGGGGAGATCCAGGGGGTCTCTGGCAGGTGGGGCGGTGGGCAGGAGGCTCGTCCTGCGGGGTGAGGCGAGGCAAGGCAAGGCAGGGGTGCCATTGTCGCAGGGCAAGGCGAGGCTGGGGGCTGGGGCGGCCGCTGCCTGATACCATTGGTCCCCTGCACGCAGAGGCCAGTGAGCGCATGGGTGCTGGGATGCATCCAGCCATGTGGGACCTTGGCGACTTAGTGGGCAGCTGGTTGAAGAGGGATGGTTGCCATCTCCGGGGAATGGCGCGTGTGCCCACAGAGAGGGCTCTGAGTGCCGCCTCTGGCACGCGTGCCATAGGTTTGCCACCACTGCTATAAAAAGTATTGGCAGAAGGAATACTATGCTTGCTACCTTGAGATGTGGCATGATATGGATCTTAATAATGATAATGGATCTTAATAATGAGATAATGGTGCATGTCAATATTGCAATCTATTTTTTTTTCTTTTAATGACCCTGTAATCCCTTGCATCAGGGTGGAGTCGGGATGAGTGAATGGAGTTGAGCATTTACTGGCTGGAAGCCCTTCCTGACGCCTACATAGAGTTTGCAGCAGATATTTTCTCTTTGCGCCCAGAGAGAGAAATATCTGCCACTACCGAGGATCGAACTCACAGCCTCCTGATTGTGAGGCAAGAGCTCCACCTCTGGGCCAACACGTTGCTCCAATATTACAACCTAATAACATTGTATTAAATATCAAGATATAAAAAATATTGAGACTCTAGAAAGAGTGCAGAGAAGAGCAACAAAGATGATTAGGGCTAAATCATCTAAACATATAAAAGCTAAAATATATAAAGTACGGTTGCAGGAACTGGGCATGTCTAGTTTAATGAAAAGAAAGACTAGCGGTGACATGATAGCAGTGTTCCAATATTTAAGGGGCTGCCACAAGGAAGAGGGAGTCAATCTTCTCCAAAGCACCTGAAGACAGAACAAGAAGCAATGGATGGAAGCTAATCAAGGAGAGAACCAACCTAGAACTAAGGAGAAATTTCCTGACAGTTAGAACAATTAATCAGTGGGACCAGTTGCCTCCAGAAATTGTGGGTGCTCCAACACTGGAGATTTTTAAAAAGAGATTGGACACCCATTTGTCTAAAACGATATAGGGTTTCCTGCTTGAGCACAACCTTGCAAAAAGTCAACAGGGTCAGAGTAATCCTGATATCTGAAGAGAGAATATTCCAGAAGGCAGGAGCTATAGCAGAGAAGGCAAAACTCCTAGTTCTTGCTAGCTGACCTTCCTTCGCTGACGGGACCCACAATATGCACAACCACAAATTGGATGGGTAGAAACAACTGGAAGAAGACAGTCCCTTAAGTAACCTAGCCCCAAACCATCAAGGGCTTTAAAGCTGACAGCCAGCACCTTGAATTGCACTCAGAAACACACTGGCAACCAATGCAGCTCACAAAGCCATGGTGTTACTTGTGAAGAATACCTGACACCCTTTAACTACACATGTTGCCACATTCTGCACCAGCTGAACCTCTGAATGCTCTTCCAGGGAAGCCCCATGTAGAGTGTATTGCAGTACAGATAAGAGCTCACAAAGGCATGAGTAACGGTGAACAAAACCTATTTTGTTTTGTTTTGCAAATAGGTACAACCTGCACACCACCCCAAGGTGTGTAAAGACCCACCTGTCCATGACTGCCACTTTCTTGTGTAGTCTCTGGATGACTTCCAGATTGCCCACGGGGTCTTAGTGAGCCGGTGCAGTGACACTGTATCCAGGATTAGTCGTGGGAAAACCTTATCATCAGGAGACTCAAATACCCAAAGCCATTCCGTTTTTAAATTGTTTGGTTGCAAGCAAACTATTCATCTTTTGTTTTCAGTCTTTTCATCCAGGAGGATAGAAGTATTAGCATTTTAATATATTCTAGTATGCTGAACCTTGATTAATGTTCTCTTTTGGCACATTTGTTTGTTCTAACTGGGTTTATAGCTGGAAATGAAATGCCTCAAATCTGAAATTAGAGTTCTTGATATAGTTGTCACACAGTTGGGACAGATGGTATGCAAATGATCTATTCTCAATTGGGTAACTATCAGTTAAAAGGAAATGACTAATTGAACTTCGAAGACAAGATGTCCTGCTCATAGCAGTCAAAACATATGACAGAATTTATTTTTGAATCTCCATAAAAAAGAAAAAAGAAAAATCTGAAGAACTGTTTCTTTTGCTTCAGCACCATATAACCTTTCTGATTGTGTAGGTAGTTTGCTTTTATTTGATTAATAAAGGAGACACTGGCCAAAATCTTTAATAAAGCTTCAGATGACAGATTATATTATTAATAAAGATAAGGAATTTAAAATGAGGTACAGCCTCTATAAAAACACATATAATAAAAAAATCAGCTCTCGGCTACAGGTAGTCCTCAATTTACAACAGTTCACTTAATGACCGAAGTTACAACGACACTGAAATAGGTGACATGACCATTTTTCAGACTGATGACCATTGCAGCATCCCCATGGTCTCGTGATTTATATTCGGATGTTTGACAACCGACTCACATTTATGACGGTTGCAGTGTCCCGGGGTCATGTGATCACCTTGCGCAACTTTCTGACAAGCAAAGTCAATGGGGAGGCCAGATTCACTTAACAACCGTGTTATTAATTTAACAACTGCAGTGATTCACTTAACAAATGTGGCAAGAAAAGTTGTAAAATGGAGCAAAATTCATTTAACAATTTTTTGATTTAGCAACATACCGTAAATTTTGGGCTCAAGTTGAGGACTTACCTCTATTAAGATACGACAGTAATGGAAACCTTGCTCTAATAAATTGCTAGGTTCTTTTCTTATACGTTATGTTAATATTTACTTCCTGCTTTAAACCTTATAGTTAATTTCTTTATCATCTGAAGGTTCTTCAGTGTTTATCCATGGAATTTGAACCAACCACAGACCTAGAAATTCAGCCTTTTGAAAATTCTCTTTCACTTACACCAGGGGTAGGCAACCTTGGCTCTTTTATGACTCGTGGACTTCAACTCCCAGAATTCCTGAGCCAGCCATGCTGAGGAGAAATGGAGAGGTTTCCATGCTGAGCCATGCTGGCTCAGGAATTCTGGGAGTTGAAGTCCACAAGTCATAAAAGAGCCACGGTTGCCTACCCCTGACTTACACGTATCTATGTCCTTCTTTCAGACATATGTTAGGAAGACTGCCCAAGTAGTACTTCTATACTTCTGTGTTAAAGCCTCCAAGTGTGCCCGTTTTCCCTTTGGCCCCTGACTTTCATTATCCTTGACTACTCGTAGTTGCAAACAGGAACTCCCAGTTTTCTTGTCTAACTTGCCTCCCATCCATCCCTTTGCTTTCATTCTCAGCTATACCACTTACCTTTTCCATTCCGCTACGTTCCACTGCATCATGTTTCTATTTGAGGGCTCTCCCATTTTAAAATTGCATTCTTTCAAGAAAAAACGGTTTTCCTTCTGATTAAATACAGTATTTCAATTATTTTTTTAAAAAAAACTATTTTGGATTGTTGTTTAGTGTAGATCTGTGTTTGATCTTCATAAATGAAAAGCTGTTCCACCTAAACATTATGTAATTTCAGAATTACTTAGTTAAAAGCATTACATATTTAGTCCAACCTTTCTGCATAATCCCTTCAGTTTTATCTCTCAACAATTCAGAGTGAATGGATTCAAGCCTAAACAGAATACTCATTAAAATTCAGAACTAAAGCTTGGCCATCACAGCTTCATATATTAAAAAAAAACGTTAGACGGTACAGAATTTTGAATTAAGTTTTGAAATGTGATCAAGCGGGAGATGCCAATGGAACTCAGTATGTCATGAGGAAATATTCTTCATTTTCAAATAAAAATTGACGTGCAGCTTAGTTAAGGAATGACTTTGGATTTGGGGAGACACAAATCTAAAGCCAGTTTAGGCAAAAAGATTGCTTGCATCAGTCTTTAAGTCTTTGGTAAATCTTTTATTAAGCCATGTTAGAAAGAAATTGCTTCCTGATAATTAATTTGCAATTTAAATAATGCTTTGTTTTGGTTTTTTCCTAATTTGTTTTATTCTTCTCTTAGGTGTATGATTGCAGATGAGGTAAGTGACTCTCCTCTCTCTCTCTCTCCCTTCCCCCCTTTCTCTCTTATTTAAATACGGTACTTGTTTCTTAATTGTTTCAACACAGGATAGTTGAGCATAGTTTTCTTAACATTTATGTACATGTGTCAGGATTTTTTGTGGCTCTGGGTATCAGATTTCTTTGTTGCTTTGGGGCTTTCCTGTCATTTTCTAATTTTCAGCAGGAATGCTAGGAAGCGAAGGGAAGCAGATTTCTCTTTTTTTCCTGAAATTATTTTGAACAGGGCTGTTGGATGGGCAGCCTTATCCCTTTCCTCCTGGTGATCCCTTCCAAGATAAGTGGACTCTTCTTAATATGTGATCTGTTTATTGTAAAAGCCAATAAAAAAATAGAAGATACTTTGTGGGCGGTTTTTTAAACTAAAAAAAGGAAATCTAGAAATTATCTACCGTGTTTCCCCGAAAATAAGACCTACCTTGAAAATAAGCCCTAGCTTGATTTTTGGGGGTGGGCCTAATATAACCCCTACCCCCCAAATAAGCCCTAGTTTTGGGGCGAGGTGCACACCTAAAAATCAAGCTGGAGTTGGGGTGTGGAGCTACCCCAAGTGCCCTGCACCCGCTTACTGTTGCAGCCAGGCCTCCCATGCCCCAACACCTGCCTCGCCTTGCCAGCCCACTTTCTCTGCGGTGGCACGCGACAGCTCGCACAGGCACGCGACAGCTCGCACAGGCACGTCACGCTGGCCTCCATTTCGCCGTCAGAGGCCTTCAGGAAATGCCTCTGCAGCTGAGAACCAAGCTCCAGATTGATGTGCGCAGTGCCCCCTGGCCTGCAGGAGGTGCCGCACATCAATCTGGAGCTTGGTTCTCAGCTGCAAAGGCATTTCCTGAAGGCCCCTGATGGCGAAATGGAGGCCGGGGGCGATGCGAGCGGTGGCGAGTGGCCGCAGAAGAAGAGGTCCGAGTGGATGGGGCTGTTGGTGCTGCCACAGCGAAGTAACACTGTGGAAAAGACATCCTCCGAAAATAAGACCTGGTGTCTCTTTTGTAGGCAATTTTTTTTAAAAAAAATAAGACCAGGTCTTATTTTGGGGAAAACACGGTATATGCGATCTAGATTAATATATGCATTTGTTTCCTTCAAAGAAAGATGCACATACTCTATAAAAGTTGCAGTATTAAAAATACATCTTTAATATCAGTGTTGAAAATGTAGAAGAATGTAATTAAAAATAATATGAAGCATTCTTAGTTTTCTTGAAAGGTAAATCTGGATGCCTTGTAAATACAGAATAATTGGGGGCGGTTGTTGATGATCATTTTTATTATATCAAGAAAATGTAGCAGAATGCTGTGGATGAAGTAGTATATGGTCATTAAGCCATTCTCACAGTAACTTTTGCTGCCCCTCCAGTATTAGTGTTATCTATTCACAACAATGTGAAGTCACAACTGCCAGTTCTTTAGCTGGTGTTGGCCTTCATAGGTGTTGGCATCAAGTTATTCCCAAGAACTTAGGATGCTGTACTATATTGGGGTAGTATATGTGCAGATATAAGCAGTATGGCCTTTTGCAATTGACTGATGGAAATTTTGTCAATGTGCATATTTTCTAAGTACCATCCAACATTTAGTGTATCCATTATTATTACTAAGATATACACCAAAATGTGAAATCACAGTTCCATAAAACAAGGTATAATGGAGGAGAAGTGGCCATTCTGCTAGAATATACTGAACAGGTAGAAACGATGGGAGAAAGTTTCTCAGATGTCCAAATCCTATGTCATACAGAGGTTTACCAATTTAACCAGCATCTTGAATTGCACTCAGAAGCTGACTGACAGTTAACGCAACTCCTGCAACTGGGGTGAGATATGGGCATACCAAAAGGCACATCTGTGCCATTGCATTTTGAACCAGCTGTTGTTTCTGGGTAGTCTTCAAAGGTATTTAGAGTGCTTCACAATAATCCAATCATGAAGTGACCAGGGCATCAGTAACTGTCTGAAGGGCCTCCTGATCAAAGAAAGGGTGTAGCTGATGCAGAAGATAAAACTGTGCAAAGGGCCTTCTATATGCTCTAGTATAATAAGATGGGATGTAGAGTACAGATAGTCCTCAAGTTATGATACTAATTGGAGCTGAAATTTCCATTCCTAAGTGATGCAGTCATAAAGCACAATGCCACATAACCACATACTGTAACTTAATGATGACAATCCCATCAGTCTTTATTGCCATTGTTAATCAAATCCGTCCAGTTGTTAGGCATTCCTACCTTGGTCTCTACCAGTCCTGTGCCTCAATAAGAGTCTGCCTCCTTTTCAACTCCCCCCACCTGACTATCATGCCCCCATATGTGCCCTTTTGCACATCAACACTCCTTGGCACCAAAGATGGGGGCTGAAATAGAAACCTGGCGCCTTTAGATTCAGCTATCTGCCATCACCTCTGGCCCTCTACTTCAGTGCCACCCTCAAGGAGTGCCTCTTCAAGCACACAACCACACCCACCCTGTGCTCTGCAGGCTCTGATTCACCCAGCTGACTTTCGCTATCTTCCTCTTACTGCTGACAAGGTGTGCCCGGTCTGGCACTATGTGAGGCAACTGTATTCTTCCTGAAGCGGCTCATTCCTTCTCCAAATAGTGTGCCCTGTTCTCACAAGCCTTCAGAAAGCTTCTGAGGCCTTCCAAAGCATCACGAGATCAGCCCGTACTATTTGGAGAAGAGTCCAGGTGGCTTTGGCAAAAAGTGCTACTTTTTAGCAGCAGCGCTGGGGCCGAAGTAGAGCCTGGGGCAGAGGGCTGAAGTTGCTGAAGGCCTCAGGTCTCTATTTCAGCCCCAGCACTGCTGACCCCACTGAGGAGAGTCGTTGTTCAGTGGCTAAGTCATGTCTGACACTTTGCGACCCTATGAACCCGATCATGCCAGCCCCCCCCCAATCCTCCACTATCTCCTGGAGTTTGCCTAAATTCATGTTCATTACGTCTATGATACTATCTAACCATCTCATCCTCTGTCTTTTCTTCTTGCCTTCAATCTTTTTCAACATCAGAGTCTTTTCCAAGTAGTCCTCCCTTCTCATTAGGTGGCCAAAGTAGTCAAGGTAGTCCCCGACTTACGGCAGTTCATTTAAAGTTACAACGGTAGTGAAAAAAGTTAGTTATGACTGTTTTTGACACTTATATGACTGTTGCAGCATCCCCATGGTCATGTGATCAAAATTCAGGAACTTGGCAACCGACTCATATTTATGACGGTTGCAGTGTCCTGGGATCTGATAAGCAAAGTCAATGGGGAAGCCAGATTCACTTAACAAGCGGGTCACTAACCTAACAACTGTAGTGATTCACTTAACAACTGTGGCAAGAAAGGTCATAAAATGGGGCAAAATTCACTTAACAAGTGTCTCACTTAGCAACAAAAATTTTGGGCTCAGTTGTGGTCCTAAGGCGAGGACTTCCTTTATTTGAGCTTTCAGCTTCAGTATCTGTCCTTTCAAGGAACAGTCAGGGTTGATTTCCTTCAGCATTGACTGAGCCAATCTCCTTGCAGTCCAAGGGACTCTCAAGACGAGGCTTCTCCAGCATCACAAGAGTGGCAAAAAGGGCAGAGATGGGGCAGAGGGAGATGAAAAGGTGGAGGGAGTTTCTTCCCTCCCTTTATAAGTGTGGGCAGGTTGCCAAGTGCCCAAATGTTGATGATGTAACTGCTGGGGCATCAGAATGGATGTAACTTTGGAGAGCAGCATAAGTACCAAGCAAAGGTCAGCCCCTTTTTCAGAGAGAGATGGTGTGAAAGGACAGACTGCATGTGGAGATTATAAACCTGCCTTCCTTTTCCTCCCTTCTTGGCCTTCCCTCATTGTCAGGATGACTCAGTTGCCTTCAGACAACAGTGTTAGACAGGTGGGGAAGCAGAAGACAGGACAAAATGGCTGCCTGGGAGCTCTATAGCCACAGGTCTTGTGAAGAATAGGCTGAATCAAGAAACCTCAAAGCCCAGGAATAAACGTAACAAGTAAAACTAAAGGATAGATGAGGAGAAAGGCTTCCCCCCACCCTTTCCCCAGATCTGAAATGTAGGAAAAGTTATTCTAGATGTGTCCCTCAGCTAGAGGCAAACTTTGGGAGAGGAGAAGAGCCAAGAAGCCCAGCCAGGAACACACAGCAGGAGACAAAAGACAAAAGTCAAGACTTTGACAGAACAGAAATAGAAAGCAGACGCCAGAATCAGATAGACAGATTGAACTATGTGGAAAAGATATAGCGCTATAGAGAGTAACCATAGAGATATACAGGGTTGTTCTATGATTGAACCACATTTTTTAATTAACACATGGAAGAAAGACTACTTAAATAAGATCACTCTTCCTATTTACTTTTGTGAGCAGCATGCCTTAAGTTTGTGAGCTGCAAAATAACTTCTTGCCTTAACCCCAGTTAACCCCAGTTAAATCATTATTTCTTGGTTTTGCTTTAACTTGGCACCCCATATTTGCTAGACCATGGTTGTCCAAATTTTTGGCTTGCCTGGGCAACACTGAGTGAAGGGGAATTGTCTTGGGCTGCATATGAAATATATAATATGGTTAATGTAGATAAATAACAAACTTCCTTTATTTTTTTTATATTTTTTATTATCTTGTGGGGGCGCATTACAAGCTGCCCAGGGCCATATGTGGGCCACCATGGATATGTCTGTGCTAGATGCTTAACAATGAAGCTAGTCCTTATCAATATGTAACTTTCCTGTATTAATACCTAATACTAAGCAAACCTTGGGGGCAGAGTGGGAAGGAGAGAGGTTAAAGGGCTATAAAACTTGCCCAGTGAAAGCAATCCCCTTATGAGCAGATGCCATGACATTTTCTCCTCACTGATGTTTTGGCTCACCATGACCTATCAAGGAGGAATCTCTCTGATGCTGTAAGAACTGTATTTGAATTGTCTTAATCTATCAATGCCTTAATCATTCTTGATTGGTTATACTGAACTATACAGTTCTATACAGTTCAGTATCACCTGCAAATGTTAAAGCCAGCAATAAGGTCTTAAGACAAAAGATATATAGAGGACACCAATAAACATATAAAGGTAGTTACGATTGTATTGAAAAAAGTGACCAATGCACTTATGACTGTCATCCCCATGGTTACATTGTGATTTGGTTGCTTGGCAACTATTGCACATCTAACGACAGTCACAATGATCTGCAGTCGTGTGATCGCCATTGTGACCTTTGCAACCCGCTTCCAGCAAGCAAAGTCAATTGGGATGCTGGCAAGAGTTTGCAAATCACAGTTCCACGATGTCTTGCTTAAGGACCACGAGTGATTCTCTTAACATGCGCAACTAAGACTGTTGTTGCAGGGAGATTATGTGATATTTTGCTTAGCAACCACTTTGCTTAGCAATGGAATTATGGGTCTGAATTAGAGTTGCTAAGTGAGGACTATCTGTGTATTAGAGATATAGAATAGGAAGATATGAAAATATGGTAAATCTGGACTAAAGACTATAGTCTAGATAACAGCCTTTAGAAAATAATTAAAATAAAATATAATTTTAATTATAAGATACTGGTTTCTGATATAGTTGAAGGCACTTATAATTTCCTCTTTTTTGTAAGTTGTCCTTGTTTTGTAAAATAAAAGTCTCCCCCAGCCATTAAAGGGAGATATAAGAAAATCCAGTTTCCAGTGCTTTGTGTCTTTATTGAATCTGGGCCAGTCTGGTTATTTTTGGTTCAAAAATGCCTTAAACTCAAGATAAAATTCTGAAATCCTTATCTTACTATTAATAATAGTAATGCCTGACCAGAGTATTTTGGACTGCAGTTGCGTTAATAAATTAACAACAATAATGCCATAATTTAGGCCTGGGCAATTCTTGAGGCACCTAAAGTGGCCCACGTTATACCGTTGTTCCGCGAACTGCATTGGTTGCCTGTTTGCTTCTGGGCAAAGTTCAAGGTGTTGGTTATTACTTTAATGCCCGTCATGGCATGGGTCCAGTTATCTGAAGAACTGTCTCACTCCAGTGGGATTGGCCCACCCCACCCTTGCTGGCAGAGAGGGCATACTACATATCCTGTCAGTCAAGGAATTTCGGCTGATGGGGTTCAGGAAAAGAGCCTTTTTTGTCATGGCTCCTGTCCTTTGGACTTCTGCACCCACCCTTTTGACTTTCCGTAAGGGCCTGAAGTTGGCCTGGCTCTGCCAGTTGGCCTGGACCCCAGTATGCCATTCTGAAGGTGGCTGTTGGATTAGGAAAGACTACACCCCTCCCTGTGTACTTTGTGTTCCTCTCCTCCCTATCTTTTAACAGTATTTATTACTGTTGTTATTTTTTGTGTAGTAGTTATAATGATTGTAAGCCACCCAGAGTCTTCACTGGACAAGATGGGCAGCACATAAATTAAATAAATAAATAATTTGTAGAAGAATGGGCATGCTGCTTGCTTAATAATTTTGATGCCTCCAGCTGAATGCACACTTATTTTGTTGATTTTGTTAGCTACACATACTGTTTAAGGAATGGTCCATTTCACTGGAGAAATATTCATGAATATATTCATTATCACCTTTACAATTACACTGATTTAGTTTTAGAGAAATAGTGTGAATGAAGGTGGGAAAAACTCTATTTATAACTGAATATATGTGTGCAGTCTTTTAATTACACACTAGCTTATATTTATTTATTTATAATTTATACATTTATTTATAACCTATATATTTATTGATAACTTGCAGGGGTGTATTCTGAGTGACTGGCAACTGGTTGAGCAACAATAAACAAAGGGTAGAAATGGGTAATTTTTACAATGAAGGGAGATAAGAAGTGTGGCCCTTCAAGGATCTGATTTGGGTTCATTGCTATTTTACTAGTTTGTAAACAATTTAAAGTTAGGCGTATCAAGTGAGGGTGCCAAATTTGCAGATGACACAAAATCATTGAAGCTGGTGAAAACACAATTGTTCAGTATAAAACTCCAAAAGAGTGTCCCAAGCTTAATGACCAGAGTGCTAAGTGACAGATGTCATTTTGGTTATTCACACATACAAGTAGAAAAGGTGATTACTTCACCATTATTTAATACTGATAGGTTTGGTCAGCTACTGTTGCACATGTAACAACCCCTAGTATATCTATATCTAGTTATACCTTTAGATCAGGGGTTCCCAACCAGGGGTGCTCGCACCCCCTGGGGGTGCGAGACGATATTCCAGGGGGTGCAAAAACTTGGGGTTTTCAAAATTATAGTGTATATGAATAATTCGTTGCCGTTATTTTGAACTTTTGCAAGGGGTGCGAGAATATATCAGAAGCGTTCTAGGGGTGCAGAGTATAGAAAAGATTGGGAGATGCTGCTTTAGATGAAGAGCTATCATGAACAATGTATTTTTCTCCTTTCAATTGATTGCATTTTAGATGGGTTTGGGGAAGACTATCCAAGCAATAGCTGTATCATACTATTATAAAAATGAATGGCCTCTGTTAATAGTGGTGCCCTCATCCCTGAGGTACCCTTGGGTTGATGAAATGGAAAAATGGATTCCAGAACTCCGTCCAGAGGATATCATTGTCATACAAAATAAAACTGACATTTGGTGAGTGATATATTAGCAGTGGCATTATTTTTGAAGTGAGTACCAGATGGTTTAATCTCTTTTCTTGTTAGACAGGACATGGTATGTACAATCTCAGCTCTTCAGCAGAAAATGGAAAAAAACGACATTTGTTTTGAAGATTTGGAATTAATAAACTGCTTTCAAATTCTGGAGCACTAATACAAAAACAACATAAGTTGGAAGACAGAATAAGAGCTGTAATATTTTTTTTTCCTTTGCTTATTTTTTGAGGTCCTAATTTGGGTTATATCATACATTTTGCTAATGTGAATATTTTGTCTTGAATTTTTAAAATTGGCCAGTTAGACTATGGCGTGAAATGATCCAAAAAAGCAAGTTGAAAGCATTCCTTGTCAGTAGTGATAGTTATTATATGAGAGGAGGAAGTCAGGAAGGTCTCTTTTGTGTGATTGGTATTAATTATATCTTGCAGTTAAAAAAAACCCTTTTAAATACTTGCTTTCCTTCCTTACTACATAGATCTTCAAAGCCTGGGCAATGCTTTCTCTTAGAGTGCATGCTGTTATAGGTAATGGGTTGAAGGCTCCGGTTTCTACAAACACACAATGAGTTTCTTTGCTTCCCAAATCAGGGTGCTGTATTTTAAATATTTGGATTCTAGCCATCCCTTTGGGACCACCAGCACATGAGAGGAAGCTGATGAAGTACTGTCCTAGACACGGCTGCCCTCTGAGTTTTCCAGTTAACATCAACTCTCATGGCTTCGGCTACCCACATGTAATCTGGAGACTTTACAATCTCACTGGCTAAAATAAGTGTTTTTTTTTACTATTTAAAAATGGCTCTTTATGATGATCACTTGGGTAACTATTTATTCTGTTCATCATAGGATGAAAGGATATAATTTACTAAGTTTTGTTTTAAAGAATTTATTGGGATATTTGAAACAAGATGCTTTTGAACAAACCTCAGTTCATCTCATGCCTTAGTAGCAACCACTCCTAAGCTTAAAGAGATTAATAATATTGGTCATTTAAAAAGCCTTTGAAAAAAGTACTCGTCCCTTCAGATTTTTAATAGCAACTTTGTTCTTTGTACTTGTAAGTTTTCTGAAGCCCTTTGAGTTGATAATCTAATTATGTTTAAATATAAATGAAATTATGCGTGAGGCACACATTCAAGCAATAGGTAGTTATGGATTAATTTAAATATAGTTTAGTCACTATTTTTTTTGTGTTCTTTTCATTTTCTAGGCAAATACCTAAAAGCAAAGTGACTGTCCTAGGTTATGGCCTGTTAACTTCAGATGCTCATGTTTTAACAGAAACGTTACGCAAACAGAAGTTCAAAGTAGTAATAATTGATGAGTCTCATTACATGAAATCCAGGAATGCAACTCGTAGCAAGATTTTGCTGCCTATTGTACAGAATGCTATTCGAGCTGTTCTCCTCACTGGAACACCTGCTTTAGGAAGACCTGAAGAGGTCCTGAAAATCACTTTAAGTTTCAAAACCTATGAAATGCATGCCATGGTGAAACAGTTATGGGTGGGTGAGGATGTGCTTTGGGCCTACAGAGTTCTCCATCCCTTGCATGTTCAAATGCCCTTTCTCACTCTGATTGGTGGTAAACATAGGGTTGTTATTTCAGATGTCTGATTTCTAATAATGGTCTGTTACAATCATAATTACTGTATGTGTCTTGACAACCCAGAATTGATGCATGCTGGAAAGTGATGGGGAAAAAAATTAGGGGAGGGAAGACTGGAGAAGCCTGATTTAATTTGAATTGTGAAAATGAGGTTTGTTTTTTTTTACTAAAATGCAGCTTCAATAAAGCACCTTAGTACTTGCACCGGGTGACATTACTGATGATGTTTGGGAAGGACCGTTGATTTTATCTCAATAATATATCGTGCTGATTAAAGCCCTAATAAGAGAAGGGCTGGACTTAAGCTGGGCTTCATTTAGGATTTCTGACTTAATGGGCATTTTAAAAACATTTATTATTGTATTTCAACAGCTTTTCATGCAACTTGAAGCACTTTGTCCACAGAAATTTGGCACATGGACTGAGTATGCAAAAAATTACTGCAATGCACGTGTCAGGTAATGACTTCTTCACCCTTTTATACATAGATGTATTCATGGTGTACGGTGCTAATTTGGTATAATGGTTAAGGCATAAGACTAGAAACCAGGAGATTTGAATTCTACTCCCACCTTAGACATAAAGCCAATGGAATGAACTTGGGCCAGCACTTTCTCTTAACTTTAAGAAGGAAGCAGTGGCAACCATTTCTGAAAAATCTTGCCAGGGAAACTTCAGCGATTCGTTCAGGCAATCTCTGAGAACCAGACATGAATGGAAGGGGGGGGGGGAATCACAATGTAATCTTGTAGACTGAAGTTAGTTCCAGGATGCAATAATTGAAAGAACAATATTTATTGTACTTTTTTTATAACAGTAAGCATTACTTGTTATCAGAGGTGAGGAAACTGTTGCAAACCTTAGCTAAAGAAGTTTATTTTTATTACTTCAAGATAATAGTAGACAATTTTTAGTTAATTTATTGCATAACTTCATAGTGCAAAATGCCCTTATGTAAGTTTAAACTTTGCAAAACAAAATTTCTCCCTTATCTCTCATAACTCACACAGCATTCATCTTGGATGGGACCTCTGGATCTGTGGTTTGGGGTTTTATTGTGGTAGCAGTGGCTTGGAAACATTATCTCCATGATTATTTCCAAATAGTCCTATGTCAATGCGTTGGTTCATCACATATTCTACTGTAGTAGTCTCCAATCGTTGCAGCTTGGCAGCCCGGCTGGGGGAGGGAGAGAGGAACCAGGGTGTGGGAGCATTGGCCTGGCGGCACGCACAACTCAATTAATGCAAGTGTTGGGCTGGCGCACATGCACATGTGTGCACAACTCAACTTGTGCAAGTTGAGTTGCACACTGACCTGATACTTGTGCGACCTGACAGTCACGCAGCCCACTTGCGAATAGGCCACGGCCCGGAAGTGAGCAGCGGCCCAGAGGTTGGGTACCTCTGTTCTACTGCTTTGATCTGAGTCATAGAACTGTCGGACACCATCAGACTTGAGACTTTCGGAACTGTCTTAGCTTTATTAACATTAGAAACAAAATATATAGGCAAAACAAACATATTTGAATCTACTATATTAAACTATAACTTTTCTATATAGCTTAAATGTGAATCATGACATAATGATTTTTAAGTTTTGGATGAATGCCGTCAGTATATTATATTTACCTCCCTTGGAAAGAAATAGTTTTACTTAGCTCATATGAACGTATATGTCGAATTTAATAAGAAATAAATGTTACGATATTTTAAATTAGCTGTTCTATTTTTATTGTTTTTGTTCCAGATATTTTGGTAAAAGACGACAGTGGGACTGCAGAGGAGCTTCAAACTTAGATGAGCTGCATGAATTACTAAGCAACGTGATGATTAGGCGAATGAAAAGTGAAGTTTTAACACAATTGCCACCTAAAATTAGGCAGCGGATACCTTTTGATCTTCCTAAAACTACTGTTAAAGTAAGCTGATATTAGCATGCCGAGAAATATGTCAATCATGATCTATTTTCATAGGTATAATGACTTTGAGAAGTATACAGAAGCCTGGCCATGTTCCAAAAGTTATCACTGAGTGTTTTGCTATTATAGTGAACCTAACTTATTCATTGTAAAATAAGATGTCATACAGAGTAAATAGAGCATTATTCTGACTTAATAGAAATATCTAAATTGGCAGTGGTTATTATTTTGTGGTGGAAACTGATAAATAGAGTGCTGAAGATACATATAATGTGGACTTGAGGATTGAGGCTCTGCTTTGAATAGTGTAGTAAATACGCATTTTCTCAGGATAATCTGGCAGCTGAAAATGCAGTTATGTAATTTCAGGAATTTTTTGGCAGGTGCTAGATGAGTGCCCTTATGTATTCCAAAGCATCTTTTCCCCCTTTTCTCCTTAAATCCAAAGGCCCAGACAGCCCTAGCAACTATAGCCAGTAGCCAAAAATTTGAATAAGTATAATTTATGTTACATGTTCAGAAAAACTTGCAACATACGTGCACATCACAGAAAAAACAGTACAATAAGGTGCATACTAATTACACTTCTAAAATATTGTGGTATTCATGAATACACATAATACATTATCTAAGTAACACATACAAAGTATTTTAGCAAGGTAATATAAATACAGTACTGAGAAGCAACTTACATAACCATTTTGATTTAAATAGTGTTCAAGTTTTGAAATTTCCAAAAAAATGGTTTTATTTATGATTGAAATAGAATGAGTTACCGGTATATTGCCTATTTTGTTATTTTTCTCTCAGTCTTTTAGTAAATTTTCATACATGGTAGGAATTTATCAATGACCACACATTGCATTGACATTGCTAAGTGGAAAAGGTTATTGTTCTTTATTGAGGAAACATGGTATGATTCAGAGACAATGTAATTGTTTTGCCTTTTCACATTTTTTGCCTCTAAATGTTGTTTCCTCCTATGCAGGAATTAAATACTAACTTTGAGGAGTGGGAGAAGTTAATGAGGGCTTCAAATTTAGATTCTTCTAAAGATGACTTTGTCCCAGTGATGAGTCTAATTACACGTATGTTTAAGCAGACTGCAATTGCCAAGGTAATCCTGAAATGTTTTGTGAGTGTTGTTAAAATGTAGTAGCTATTTCTATTCTGCTTCTTCTAACGATATAACAGCTGGATAAAGAATATTCATTTTATTTGTTTACTTATTTAAATTTACAAAGCTGCCCAGCTCTACAACAACTCTTGAGTGGTGCATAATAAAAATACCAGCAAAATACAGATAGTAGAAATAATAAACTCCAACTTCTGGGGGAACAAACCCAACCATCTTATCTCCCCAAATACAGAAGACACCTCACTCACTCACTCACTCACTCAACCCAAGGCTTGGAAGAAAAGCCAAGTTTTCAAAGCCATTCTAAACACAAGTCAGGATGTCACCACATGGATTTCAGGGTGGGGGTGGTATTCCAAAGGGTGCTACCACAAAAAAGGCACCTCTTCCTGCATTTCTCGGGAATTGAAAATAATATAAAGTGGTATTCTGATTATATGCATCTACCTTTTTATAACAAATTTTTTTTTGAAAACCAGAAAGAAATATTTTTTCATCTGTAAGATGCCCAGATCCAGCAAAAGCTTCTATGAATAGATATATCGTGGGAGATTTTTGTTAACCATTCTTTATTCCCTACAAACCCTGAACTAAATTCTACTTTTAATTTGTCCATGAACTGCCTCGTTTTAGGATATATTATCCAAAACATATTTAACAGTAATAAGTACTATATTTTACTTAAAGTTTTCTATGATAACAAATATATGTTGTGACATTTAACTAGTAGTACATCATCCCTAGCAGCAGCACTTAAATATTAATTTCAAGAACTTTGAGTGGTAATCTTTTTGTCAAACTGGACTTCTCTAGTCAGTTTTTTGTACTGCATAACATAAACCCTCAAAAGACCAACTTGAGAATCAGTTTCTCTGCATATAATTTGGGATATAGCATATTGGATGGCTGAATATGCAGGCAGCTGGGAGACATTTTATTAGTCTTTCTTGAATTGAAGAATTCCTGGTCACAGTTAAGTAGAAATACTTCCATTCAAAAAATATTTTTAATCCAAATCATAAGAGATTGTAAATTCATCTACTGTTGGTATGTGTGTATCTGTGTGTATTATTTGTCATGCTTGCCTGTTTGCTTTGAACATAAGTAGCACAAAAATCTTTACAGGAATTGATGAGCCAGTATGATAGAGTAGATGAACCAGTATGTAATAAAATTGATGCCATAGTTTGCTTTTTCTTAGCCTGAATCTACATTTGATTAAAAAAAGAAATTAATAGTTTATTTGTGCAGTTTTATTTTATAACTTAAGATACCTGGTATTTTGTTGGTGTCCCTTTGCCTTTCCTTTTCTCAATAATTATAATAAGATTCCAACTTGGTTATATATTTTAGGCAGGAGCAGTAAAGGACTATATTAAAATGCTGCTGGAGAATGAAGAACTGAAGTTTCTGGTCTTTGCTCATCATTTACGTATGCTGCAGGCATGTACAGAGGCAGTGATTGAAAGCAAGGTAAATATGCTTTATGAAATTAGATTGCTATTGGAGGCTCTTATTAAGCTGTAAACGTGAACATCACAGTTACAAAAAAGGGTAAGCATACGTCTGTACCATCTTGACTACTGACATATTTTCCACTGTATTATAAACCTCTATAAAGTAAACAATTATTAAGTGAAAACCTCTATAAAGTAAACAATTATTAAGTGAAAATTAACAGTTAAAACCAGATAGCACTGCATACATTAGCTTTATTCAGCATGGTACTTTCCACCTATGTTGGGGCTGCAACTTCAAAATACCCAATTAGCTGTACTACGGTCCCAAAATGTTTGGAGCGGGGTGCCAGGAGGGGGAAGATCCTACTTAAATTGTTATTCACTTATAGTAAATAAGTGACTCTTTACAACTTGTTGGAAGGCCAACAGCAGTAGACCAAAGACTAACACTGGAACAGTGTAAGAGCTTATACTACTCAGATTAATAAAGTTTAGTCCATGTAAAGACAACAGAGAAATTATATCGCTGTCCAAGCCCACAATCTGGTCTTAGCCCACTGTAGCCTTTACCTTTCCTCTAAAAATGTTGCTTAACTTTGGTTCCTATCGTACTATCAAGAATCATATATTAATACGTGTGCTTTGATGCATGTGATTACCATCAAGATAGTGTTGATTCTTAATGACCCCAAGATAGAGCTTTTCCAGGAGTATCTATCCTCATCCTGCCCCTTTGGTCTTCCAAGAGATGAACCTATCATTATTGTAATAAAGTCCATTCACCTTATTGCTGGTTGTTCTCTTCTTTCCTTCCACCTGTCCCAGCATTCTGGATTTTTCAAGAGAGCTGGGTTTTCACATAATATGTTCATGTAGCATAATTTGAGCCTGGCCATTTTGTGTTTCAAGAGAAATCTGGTCTGATTTGTCTGATGATCCTTTGTTTGTTTTCTTGGCATCCCTGGTATTCTCAGGAGTGTTTCCCAACATCAGAATTCAAAAGTGTCAATATTCTTCTTATCCTGCTTCTTCAAAGTCCATCTTTATCTTGCCTAGACTGTCATTAGAAAAACTAATACTTGCACCATCTGATCTTTGTAGAAATACAGTAGTGGCCAAAATTGAGGAAACCTTTTGGGAAAAGTGTACCGTAGAAATGCCACTTTTGGCTAAGTTTCCACCCATTTTTCTTCTAATTTCTTTATAACTGTAGCCTTGTTCACTTAATAATACTATTTTGCATTGCTTTCTGGGCAACCAGTCAACTCTTTGCGCTATTACTTTAATTTTATTACATTTTACAAGCTCAGTAAATGAAAGAACACAAAAAAACCCAACCAACTTGATAGCGATCACATAACACACTGACAAATGTCCTCCTCACGGCTTCAATACATGACATTAATAACTGAATCCTACTGTGATCTGATTGGCTCATTGCCAAAACAAGATGACACCTGATTGGCTCTCTAAACACTCATGCTCATTGGCTACAATCAGATGAAGGAAAGCTACCTGACATCAACCTAAGCAAATTGTGCTTCCTTTTTCTGGTTATTTGGCTATAACTTTTCATAGAACACAGTACAAATAATTGAACAAACTATGTTGCATTATATTCTTGATTAAATTATCTTTCCATTGATATATCATTTTATGATACTACTCCAAAAGAAAGTGGTGTTATTAGCCATCAAACCTCAAAAATACACTTTTCCCAAAAGGTTTTCACAATTTTGGCCACTACTGTAGATATATCACGATGTTTGAATATCTTTTCCAAGGTCTTCACTATAACTCTATCAAATACTAGTCTCTAGTTTATTTCTTGATTGCTGGTTCTGTTAATAGTGATTATTGAGCCTAAAAGTCAGAAGCCATAGTAGACCATTTCAGTAATGTCTGATAATTTTTAGGCTAACAAGTGAACCTAAGTCTGTAATTGTTGTCATTTGTTTGACCTTTATATTTAATCTTAGTCCTGTGATTCACTATGCCAGTGATGGCGAACCTTTTAGAGACTGAGTGCCCAAACCGCAACCCAAAACCCACTTATTTATCACAAAGTGCCAGGGCTGCATCAGCATTGTGGTGCCCTCGGGGGGAAGGCGTGGCCCACTGGGTGGGCATGGCTGTGGTCACAGCAGACTGGGTGGGTGTGGCCAGGGTGGGTGTGGCCATCTTGATGTTGCTTGTGGGGGAGATGCCTGTGGGAGCTGGGCAGGATTGGGGGAGATCCAGGGGGTCTCTGGTGGGTGGGGCGGTGGGCAGGAGGCTCATCTTGCAGGATGAGGCAGGGGTAGGGCGGGGGTGCCATTGCTGCGGGGCAAGGCAAGGCGAGGCAAGGGCAGCTGCTGCTTGACACCATCGGCCCCCGCACACAGAGGCCAGTGAGCGCATGGGGGCGTGCTCTACCACCTCTACTCAAGTTTGCTAGCCGGCTGCTTCGCCTCCTTTGTGCTGGGTGGGGCTGCTGCTCCGGGCACCTGCGGTGGCCTAATGGACCTGCCATAGGTTCGCCATCACTGCACTATGCTCTTTTAACTACTAGAGTTTTTAATTTTTTTACTGTCATAGTAGTAATCAGCATATATGGTTAATAATGTTTCTTTCTCCCAATTTTAAAACTTTGCTCATCTGCTTCCAATCCTGCATTCCTCTATACATATTCATCATTAAGACTGAATAAATCACGAGGCTTGTCTTATTCTTTTGTTGATTTAAGGGCAATCTGCTTTGTCATGTTCTGCCACATTTTTCTAAGGACATTACACAGCATGCCACGGCCCACATAATCAAATGTATTTCTTTCATCAATGAAGCACATATTGACTTCTTTTTAGTATTCTTTGATTTTTTTTTCATAATCAGCTGTGCATCAAACCTAATGTTTCTTTTTCTTCTTTTTCTAAAATCAGCTTGAATATGTGATGTCTCAGTTGTCAGGTGGGACTCCTATTTGCACTGAATGATCCTAAGCATTATTTTGTTAGCCTATGAAATGAAGGATATTTATGAGAGCTTGTGCATCCTGTTAAATCTTCTTCTTTGGTATTGGTGTATACCTTGACGTCCCAAAACTATTTCTGATTGTCTCCTTAAAATGGTGGCTATATTCTCAAGATGATACCCTAGAAACTGGGTGATTTGTTCTTCTGCATTAGCTTAGTTGGCACTTCAACAAAAGCAATTTACGATCTATTCCACAGTGAGCAACTGGATATATCTTTGCCATTCTAAATGAATTCCTCCATCTCATTATACCAATTATGGAGTGAGTTTTATTTGTACGTGTTTCTCGGGTGATGTTCATAAAAATAGGCCTTGGTTTGGTTGTTTGAAGATTGTGTTAGCAATGAAGAAATCGTTAGGTTGCAGAAACTAATATCATTGTCCTGATTCATTTCCTATTTGCTAGGCTGTATAATCCAACAGTGTTTTCCTCATTATTTTCAACTTTTGACATTCCAACCCCCAGCTACAAGCAGCAGTGGAACATCTGTATATAATAGCAATATTTATTATATTTTCTTGCTCAATTTCATGCAAGTTAGCATGGCATGCCTCAACTCCAAGTGCAACTCCTTAATTGATTTTGGCTAATATGCAAATTTAGGCAGAGTTGACCATGCCTAATGCTCCCATGAGGGGCCATTTGAGAAAGCCAGAGGTCTAGACTAGATCATAAAATCAAAATTTTTGGAAGAAAGCAATGTGAATCAGTTCTAAGAAAACAGAGAGGTGTAGATAGATCTCAGCCACCAGGACTCAAATATAATTTCACAACCAACTTTAGTTTGTGGTAATCGTGACTTTCTATTTTTTTTTTTTTAAATGTATACATATACATCTTAGGGTTGTAATCAGAACTTATTAGTCAAGTCACACTAATAAGCATTTCATGTGTTTTAAGGGCAAAAAGATAGTAAAGTGCTTGCTCAGCAGTCCTACTCTAACAGAGTTTTACTTACTACCAGCACAAAATACTTGCTGAGCTGTACACTATGAGATAGTGTACACTCGAGGTCAAGGAAGAAAACATTCAGTTTTAACCAAAAGAGGATCATTGAGCAGATGATAGGCTGTAGAGTTTTACTGGAGAGAGTAATGATACTATTTATATAGATAAGATGGAAAATGTACTAGATAATGTATTATAATGCAGGGATATAATGAATAGCAGTTAAGTGGAGAGGTCAAAGCCTAAGGAACTAATTATAAATCATAAGCAGTACCTATAGTGTTTGGCCTTATAGAGAGGTTAATTCCTGACCACTGTTTCCTTGGCATCCAAGATGCTAACATAAATTTGAATAAGCTTTGATGGTGGTTTTCTACTGAACACAATTTTTGGTTTTCAAGTGATCGTAATTTTAATTGCAAAAGAAAATACAGGAATTTTCTTTTGTCTCTCTGTGTGTCTGTCTTTTAGGTATTTTATTAAACAAAACAGAAATTTATATTTAAATAGTAGAGGGCAGAAGGGGCACGTAGACCTGAATTCATTGCAATTGAACTTGGGGAATAAATTTTTGTAGAAGGCAAACTTAAGAGTTTTATTTTTCCAAATTTTTAAACTATCGGCTCCACAAGCAGGAGTTCATTATCAGCAAGGCCCTGTTCTTTGGGTTTGTGCAGGGTAGCTTTAACTGTTCTTGCATATAATATTTATAATGCTAATGTCAAAAGTCCTGGCGAGGTTAATTTTTAAACTAGCTGTTCGTGACACAAAGCAGGGAAGAGCATTTTCAAGCCATTTGGCTACATTTACTTGTTTTGTCTATGATTTGCACATGTTACATGACTATGTTTGTAGATATTACCCTGTCAATTTAAATGGTTGTCCTGCAATAGTTAAAAAGTATTGAAATTGATGTTGCAACCTCAGATAACATAACATGATTCTAAACTCTCCAAAAGTTTTTATTATATCAATTTAACTAGTTGACTATCCATTAATATTTTAATGTTAAATAATAATACAACAAGTGCAGTTCGTTCAGTAGAAGTGTTACTTGTTCTACTGCCTTGCTCTTCCAATATTTAAACAGCTGCAAGTTGTGCCATTTAATGTTTCCGAATCATTTTTAAAGACAACCCCATGATATCACTGGAGCATAGGAAACTTAACAAGGTCCATTATTACTATTATTTAGCATGTGGCATTGGTACATGAAAGCCAGGAATCTACAATGTTATTCCATAGTAGAAGTTTGGTTGCCTAAGATTGCTAAGATTGTTCAGTTCATGTTCGTGTGCTATCCACCGTGCATCATAGGAACTAGCTCCACGCACAAAGCAGCTAACGACATTCTGTTGGAGTGTCAGCATCATCTGGAGCTTTTTCTCCGCTGGTTTTTGCCTCTCATTCAGGTCGGTCTGGTGCCCATTGGTTTCTTGCTTATTAGTCCCACCAGAGTAGTACCTTCTTTATCTACTTGCATTTGCATGCTTTCGAACTGCTAGGTTGGCAGAAACTGAAGTGAGTGATGGAAGCTCATTCCGTCACATGGTGCTAAGGATCAAACTGCTGGAATCCGGAGAGCCAACCTTCTCTGTCCGACAAATCCAGCATCTTTTAAGCCACTGAGCCACCGTGTCTCATTACAAAGTCCACTGACCAACTTCCCTTCAATACTTGTGGATGCTCCTCCACTAGAGGCTTTTAAGAAGAAACTGGACAGCCATTTGTCTGAAATGATACAGGCTCTCCTGCTTGAACAAGAGGTTGGACTAGAACAGAGGTCCCCAACCTTTTGGGCACCAGGGACCATTTCCGTGGAGAAAGGTTTTTCCACGGACCGGAGAGTGCGTGGTTTTGTGTGCTGCCTGCATCCCACAGATGGGATTTTGCTTGTTTGTGTGGACTGGTTGCTGACATGCCGCGGCCCAGTACCGGTCCATGGATCAGGGGTTGGGGACCCCTGGACTAGAACACCTCCAAGGTCCCTTCCAATTCTGATGTTCTGTTATTCTATTATTCTGTCTGTTGTCTTTAGACAGGGGCAGAGCAAAAGTGGAATGACATGAACTGCAGATTCCTCAACCAATATTGTTGCTTCCATAATATCATCTCCCTGCTATGCCCAACATTTCCTTTGCTTCTTCTGAATTTATACAAAGCCAATCTGGGAGTTCTAGTTACGTCACTGTTTTGGATCCCCCAAAGATAAATTCCCTTTTAGTTTCATCCTTTTAGTTCTAGTTCTATTGATAGTGACCTAACTATCTCTGGTTCCTAGTAACATTTTTCTTTATGTTCTTGCTATAATAGGTGATACAATCTGACAGGGATTATTGCCATCTGGGCCCTTCTAGCTATGAGGCAACAGCATCTGGCCATCAGACCTTCACACTTGTTCTTCCTGTGGAAGACTAGAGCAGCTTTCTCTATTAAGAATTGTTATCTTTTCAAACTAGGGACCTATATTCCTGGAAACTTTAAGGTATCATATCTGTGAAGCAAAAATGATGTGTCTAAAGCTGCTGTTCTTTTGGGATTGAATCAGTTACATACATACATACATACATACATACATACCTTAATTGCAATTGGTCTGATGACCATATTCAATGTGGAAATTAGTAATCTCATTAACATCTTTCTTTCCCAATTGTCAGGGTTTTTTTTGGTGTTTTTTTTTGTCAAAACCCAAGGATTCTCTTCGGGTGACTGTTTGTGTTACTTTATATGGTACAGGTTCGTTATATTCGGATAGATGGCAGTGTACCTTCAGCAGAACGAATAAATCTTGTAAATCAGTTCCAAAAAGATCCAGATACCAGAGTGGCCATTTTAAGCATTCAGGCTGCTGGCCAGGTAATGACTTAAATAAATAACTCCCTCTCCCTCTCACCCTCTCTCTTTCTCTGGGTTTGTGTGCATAAAACCTGTTTGTTTAAATAGATGCTGAATTAACTTTTCTTAGTTGACCATTTTGCAAAGCATCTGTTGATCATTATTCAGTGTACCTCTAAGAATCAAATACAATAAAGCCTTTTTTTTAGCACAGTAGACTTATATTTTATAATCATGAGCATAGATTTAAACTTAAGTATATTACTTAAATACACCTTAAAATTGTTCCCTGGTATGGAACACTGGTAGTAGAATCATTTTCAAATCCAGTATGGGAAAATACTTTTGGAGCTCTTAGGCTGAATAAGTTCCATATATAGATTTATACACATGCTATGCTCACAGCTAGAAAGAAGATGTTTGCCAGGTCCACAGTGGAGTTGAGTGTGGAGTATAAAATGAAGGAGAACTCAAAATCTCCTTTACTTTCTGTTAGTCTGAACCTTAGCTGGTCAAAATGGTCCTGAATAATAGGAACACTTCCAATTGCAGAAGGAAACTTCAGGAACCAGAATTTCTAACTCAGTTTCTTTTTAAGCAAATTCTAGCAGTGATGTCACGGCCTAGCAAATGATAGATGCCAGAATCAACACATTGCAACATTTTTGCAAAAATTATTTTAACAATTTTTTTTTTTGCTAAGTACTATAAATAGTAAGACTAAACTAACAACTTCCATAATTTAGTCACTAATAGTCAGATAAGTGCTGTTGTCTCCATTTGGGGACACTAAATAAATAAAGCCAAATGACTGTAGAACCACTTTTCAAAAAAAGAACTGAAATTTCATCTAGGAGTGTTATCCTACCGGAAATTCAAACATAACACAAATTATAGTGTGGAGCCCAGCTACTGGTAGTATATATCTGCATTGTTTCATACATTTGCTCATACGTATCTGTGCATATTTAACAACTTATTTTTCTATTATTAGAGAATATGTTTTTCTGGAACTTAAATTATTTTAAAGAATTTAGCTGAAGTGCTATGCATCTTTTCTTTACTTTGCCCTTGTTCTGTTGTTCCAGCTCACATAGAGCTGATCCAGAAACTAATATTACTTGCAATATATATATAGGAGCACCTCATTTATGAATGAGTATATCTGTCTATATAATGCAATTTCTTATGAGACATTTAGGAAGGAGCTACAGCTTTGTTACTGTGGAAAAACAATTAGCAATGTTATTTTACTTGTTAGGCCTCTTGAGTGAATTTTTACAAAGAAGACAAAACTTTGTAAGCCAAGATGAAGAGGAATGATGTTCTCTAATTACAACACTAAATGTTCCCCAAAATTTCTATAAGAGGCCGTAAGCTTATAAAAGGCATTGCTTGTTGCTTGTTTGATAAATGATACAAGTGTTTATTTCGTCATCATGTTTAGGGTTTAACCTTCACCGCTGCCACTCATGTTGTTTTTGCTGAACTATACTGGGACCCTGGACACATAAAACAAGCAGAAGACAGAGCTCATCGGATAGGACAGAGTAACTCTGTGAATATCCACTATCTTATTGCAAATGGAACATTAGACTCTGTAATGTGGGCAATGCTGAATCGTAAGGTAGGATTAAATATTGAAAGTCCCAGCTGCTACAGATTTTGTACTGTATGGATGTATACAGATAGTCCTCAACTTGCAATAGTTCATCGAGTGACCGTTCAAAGTTACAACGCCACTTAAAAAAGCAACTTATGACCATTTTTCATATTTATGACCGTGGCAATATACCCATGGTCACGGGATTTACATTTGGATGCTTGACAACTGACTCACATTTAGGATGGTTGTAGTATCCTGGAGTCATGTGATCCCCTTTCTCACAAGGAAAGTCAATGGGGAAGCCTAACACAAGGGTCTTCAGACTTGGCCCTTTTATGACTGGTGGGCTTCAACTCCCAGAATTCCTCAGCCAGCGTATGAAAACCTCTGACTTAACAACTGTATTACTAATTTAAGAACTGCAATGATTCACTTAACAAATGTGGCGAAAAAAGTCGTAAAGTGGGACAAAACTCACTTAACAAATTGCTCGCTTAACATCATAAATTTTGGACTCAGTTGTGGTCGTAAGCTGAGGACTATCTGTACATTCTACGCTGTTCCTTTTTCACCCAGCATCTTTTTTTCTATCAAGTTTTGGTTCATTTTGATTCTGAAGAAGAATATTATGTATCTGAAGAGACAGTCAAGACATAATGGCACATAAAAGTTTCTTTGCTACGAAATTTCCTTAGAAGCCTCTGAACCCCTACTTCAGAAAGCCGAAGTGTCTCAGTTCTGAAAGGACAAGGATAATGAAACAGAGGAAATGTTCATGTAGGTAATTAGAGCTTAGAAGATGCAGTCAGATGATAATGAGAAGCAGCCTTTACCCTTGGAAATGTTCCATGTTTTGTCGTCATTTATCTTAATCTGACATTAAAGACCTGAAATCAAGACCCTTGGAATGAAAAAAAGAATTTGTTGAGCTATAGAATTTAAGAAATGTCAGATTATTTGGGATGCTCTATCTGTCATCTCTGCAGATTCTGTACAAAAACAAAATTTGTATTAGTGCAACTCAGAGGTCACAAAATAATATGCACGTTTTCATGTTCTCCATAATTTATTGCATAGCATGGTAAATAATGCAGGGATGGGGGAAGTTATTAGCGCCATGGAATCCGAGTTTAGTCACATATTTAAGATTTAATATGAGAGAAGTTTCTTACATTAACATTAGGCTAGGGCAAGTTTATAATTGCTTGTAAGACTCTTTCCAAGACTGCTGGGAAGTAGACATAAAGAATAATTGTACCTTTATTTTTTAAAAGATAATATTGAAATTATATGCTCTTAGACGAGGCAGACTTTCCAGGTTCTTTGGAAGGCGGCTAAAATAGAAACTAAGCAGTTGTTATTTTGAAAACTGCAAATGATTTTGGATGATATATTTTGAGAAATGGCAGTCTTTCTTGGCGTTTGGCACTTTGTTGTTATATTAGCTCTCTAGGCCCAGAAAAGGCCAAATGAGTACAACCAAACTTTCTCGCCTCTTTTTAGGGAAAGTTGGGCATTTGAAGATATAATGTGGATGTTAATTATGCCCCTGAGGCTTAATAAGCCCACTTTGGTTTCAACAGGGAGGAAAATGCAGGAATTGCATAGCTGAAAATCAACTATTGTGCTGCTAATTTTGATTGTGTTATCTGAAAGTAGTTTTGGTGTTGGGGAGCGACATCTGAAGTAGTAGGTGATAATTCAATATTCCAGTGGAATATTAAGGAATATTTTCTCTTGAAATTTTGTTTTGGAAATCTGCAGAGACACAATTTTTACATCAGACTTTTAATTTCTATTTCTAAGTGTTTTGCTTGTCATCTTGAATGCTTATTAGAAGTTGGGTATGAGACAAATATATAAATAATAACATGTGGTGTTTTTTTTAAAATTCATTTACTATTTAGGCCACAGTTACAGGTGCCACATTAAATGGCAAGAAAGAAAAGCTACAGGCACCAGAAGGTGACAAAGATAAATGGAATTTTTTGAATTTTGCTGAAGTCTGGACCCCAAACGAAGGCCTAAATGAAAGCAAGGATGAGGTGTTATTCACTCATGTAAGAATGTACATATATAAATCCTTTTCAATATCCAAGAGTAATACTATGTTTTTGATATACAAGTACTTCTCATTTTGGTTTAGATCGACTGTAATAACTGAATTTCACACAGCATTCTATCATCATCAATGTTAGCTATTGTAATGCTGCTTTAGAATCATCAATGAAGTGAAATGTCCATAGAAATAAATGCTTTATTTTATATTTAAAGTATTCTTTTATTTTTCTCTTAAACCCATTGGTATGATTTCTGTCGGATTTGCTGACCTAGACATTCGGAAGAGGCAGCTGACATTCCATATGTCATGATGTTGCACAAATGATGCTAATTAGATACAATATGTTATTTGTGTAATGGCATTGTGACAAGTGTGACATTATCGGTGCTTCTAGCAGATGCTTATGTCCACTGATTATAATTCTGTTTGGTCTTTGATAACTGTGTTGGGAGTTTTAGCGCTTTCTGCAGAAACTTAATGGTAGATTATAGCAGATTAATTTGTCTTAATACTTTGGTTCAGGGTTTACTCAAATAGCCTTTTGCATATTATCTAGGGCATTAGCTTCATTACAAGCTGCACTAATAATTCTTCATATAAATGTCAAGTTGTGAAATCTAAAAATGATCATCATTGGCAGAAAAGATCTCTCCCTTCACAGCATCATTTTCCTAATAACAAAAGACAGGTTCAGAATTAATTACACGGCTCATTATTTTTTTAAAAAAAACTAGCCATTGTGTCAGTTGAGTTTCAAAATCAGATCCAAATCCATGGAAACAAACATGATTCCTATTGTTTTAACTATAGCAAAGATTAAAATGAGTTAAATGTATGTTATTTGACCAAAATATTAGTATTAATAGTTCATTTTGTGAAATTTGTCAAAATATTAGTATTAATAGTTCATTTTGTGAAATTTATTTAAAAGTGTGGAGTAAGTCGTACTGATGCAAAACCTTACTTTTCATTTGGCATCTAACATACCAATTTTGTTTAAAAGCTCTATATCCAATATCGCAACTTTAAAAAAAAATAGTTTGAATAATGTTGACAGAATGTTAATACTAATAAAATTCTATATTCTAAAATATAGAATATTACTTTTTTTCTTAAGATGTCAAATTGCCTCTTAAAATTCAAACTACAAACTTATGATCACAACTGAGCCTGTAAATTTGGTTGTAAGTCATTGTGGTCATAAGTCAAGTTACCACATGACCTAACTCAGTTTTACGACCATTTTTACAAACAATCATTAAGTGAATCAACATGGTTGTAAATCTAAATCGAACTTACTCAATGGGCATTTTTTGCTGGAGAACGGCAAAAAAAATTGCAAAACATGATTGTGACCACAATACACTGAACTGGTATTAAATGCGATTAGGTGAGCACAGAGGTCATGTGGCATTTGTAACTTCGAGGACCAATGCCCATTTTTCCAAGCTTGTCATAACTTTGAATAGTTGTTCAGTGACCAGTCATAAGTCAAGGACTACCTATTTCTAAAATGGTGACATTGAAATAGGAAATGATTGATAATGAAAGGGTAACGAATAGTAATTGATAATGAAGGGGCATCTTTGTATTAAGCAAAGTAATGATTGTTGGGTCTTCCATCCTAGTTTGAAAAGGAGAAGCAACATGATATTCGTGACTTCTTTTCGCCAAAACCAGATATAGAGAAAAAGCGAAAAATGGATTCCGGTTATAATGTATCCCCATGTTTGAGTTCAAATTCTTCCCAAGCCTCGGAGGAAAAGGATCTGGAAAGTGGCAGAAACACAGAACCTCAGGATCCAGAGGATCTAGATGAGCTTTGTAGAGAGGCAAAGAGACCAAGATCTGTAGATCCATCTACACCCAAGATTGTTCCTAATAGAGGAAAGAGAAAATGCTTGTTTAGTGAAAGAAACAGTTCATTTTCAGAAGACGCTTCCCAGGAGGAGGATTGTGTCCTTTTACCTGGGTCAACAAAAGGATTTGCTTCTGAAGTAACCTGGCTTTGCAATCTTTGCACTTACAGTAACAGTTCGTTGCTACCTTATTGTGAAATGTGTGAATCTCCTCGCAGAAAGAAAAGTGAGTAAAAATATTTGCTTCCGTTAAAATCTTTTTTTCATTGTTTTAACACATCTTGTTACTCTGTTTGCATTATAGCACGTGTACAAAAATATCCTAATGTTTAATGCTAAAAGTAGAAATTTAACAGTTGGGCCTAAAAGTGTAATATTGCATAAATTAAGGGCTTGCAGGAATAAATGTAATTGTCCATGGTACAAATTTAATTTGTATGATATCTTTTTGTTAGAGGTGTTAAAAGAAGCAACTTTGTTAATCTTTATTACTGCATTTCTGACATTCCTCCCTCCCTTCTCTGAGTAATATACATAGACTCTTGACCTAGAGCAGGGGTCTTCAAACTTGGCCCTTTTATGACTTGTGGACTTCAACTCCCAGAATTCCTCAGCCAGACAAGCTGGCTGAGGAATTCTGGGAGCTGAAGTCCACAAGTCATAAAAGGGCCAAGTTTGAAGACCCCTGATTTAGGAAAGCAGCAGTAGGAAAACTCAGTTCAAGGATAGATCTTCTTTCATCCCCAAGGGTGTAGGCTGTGGGCCGTGTTTGACCTCAGATGCGTGAAAGGAAGTGTTGCTAGGACAAAAGTGGGACCAGGACAAAAGCTAAATTCAGTTGAATTGAAGCCTAAAATAGTTGCATTTAATGAGCAGCGTGGTGGCCTAGAGGTGGAGCTCTCGCCTCACAATCAGAAGGCTGCAAGTTTGATCCTAGGTAGCGGCAGATATTTCTCTCTCTAGGCCAGGCATGTCAAACTTGCAACGTCACGTGACGTTGCGCAACACATCGCGACTTTTTCCCCATTGCTGGCAATGTGGTGGGTGCCGTTTCGTCATAATGCATCCAGCCCCTTGGGCTGGCAGTTTGACATGCCTGCTCTAGGCACAATGAGAAAATATCTGCTGTGAACTCTGTGTAGGCATCAGGAAGGGCAATTGGCCAGTAAATGCTCAGCTCCCTTCAGTCACCCCAACTCCACCTTAATGCAAGGGATTAAAGAGTCATTCTAAGAAGAAAAAAAAGCTAATATAAGTATTTTGCAATTATTCTATAATTACCCTGTGTGTGACATTTAAAGAGTCCTGTGATAATTCTTGGAGACTTGGAGAGGGAGATGTATATGTAGGTATTTCCTTCATTTAGCGTATGCAATTATTATTTATTTAAGTGTCAAATCTATGGTAGTACCAAAGCACAGAGGAAATAATAGATGTAAAGAAAGTAATTGAAAACAGTTTCACTCTTTATAAATATATTGATGAAATTAATAACTGGATACAATGGAAGGCAATGCAATTTAAACAATGCAATTTATAGATTTTTCACCTTTTTATTTTTGTATTTTCTTATACTTTTTTGCTTTTTTAATTTTCTTTTTTTCTTTTTCTTTTAATATTTATAAATAATGATATCAATAACTAACATGTTTAAAGCATTATAGAACTCTCTAGTTGTATTTTAAGATGGCATGATAAATTATTCTAGACAATTAATGAAATAATTGTTTTCAAATTTTATTATAATTAAAAACTCTTCGTTTAGTATTGTGATTCTTTTTCCACTATGTCTTTATCAGCCTTTTTATTTTATGTAGCTTTTTATTCTGTTCTTTTAATTTTTTTAACCATCTATTTAGAAAATTGCTCGATGTTTGGTGACTTATGTTATTATTTTTGTGCCCATAGCCACTGAGTATGAGCATAAGACAAGTAGTTGGCAGGCACATATCCTGTCCTTGTTTAATCTGAGAATTATCTATATAATTACTTATGGTTAACTACAATTAACTGCTACTCTTCTCTTAAGAACTAAGTAGTAGACTTTATAACAGAAATGTACCTTAGCATTTATGTTAGCTTTTCTTTCCCAACAGTATAATATATGTTATTCCTTCTTGCTTTTTAATACCCATAGTTATACAAAAGGAAAGTCAAATTGGTTTTCTCTCTACTGAAAGCGAAGATGGAAATGCAATCAAAAATAACATAGGTCTTAATGGTATCGAGATGATCAAGGAAGAAACAAATAAGAAATCGGACTGCTGCAAGCAAGAACTCAAAGAAGGTAATAAATATTGCCTTCCTTCTGGCACTAATTATTACATGTTCAGGTTTGGGCTGTGGGATATCTAGAAGTTTGAGAATTATCAGCTCTTCAGTGATTGTTGCATGTATAACATTTGCAAAATGTTTAAATGGTGAGAAAATTTCTGTCTAGTCTTTAAGGGTTTGGAGCCAATTTGGAGTGGAAGTGGAGAATGTAGGGGAATGAGAGGCAGGGAAAGACTTATTAGTGGAAGTCAACTTGTTTAACAATGGAACACAAAACTCTACAAAGAATAATGTAAACACTTGTAGGATTCTTCCTCTCCTCTGTTGTTGAACACAGTGCTTAGAAAGACTTACAAGATGCCCTCAGTACATTTTGGAGACCATGGTAGGGCTATAGTTTGCATTTTGAGAATTTAGACGATGCAAGAAAATGTCCTATTGGGGAAAAAAAATCTTATTTGTCTACCAAAATTAACTTGATTAACATAGTTGCCTCTCTCTATAACAAGATTATACTTCAAAAAATATCACAAAATATTCATCTGCTAAATTAGAAGTGAGGGCCAGTTTGACTTAGTTGTTAAAGTAACTTCTTTAGAAACTGGAAGACTCTGAGTTCTAGTTCTGCCTTAGGCAGGAAATGGGTGACTTTGGGCCATTTGCTTATCCCTCAATACTAGGAAGAAGGCAGAAGCAAACAATTTCTGAAAATGTTTCCAAGAAATTTGCATGAATTTGTCCGTGGAGTTCGTCATCAAAAAAACAACAGTAGTTTATATATAGCTTTAATGCATACAATTGGCTTTGAACATAGCCAAATAAGGGTGATGTTGTTAAGGTTCCGATAGACAAGACTAAACAAATCAGAACTCCGAGGCTTGAGTGTTCCTCAAAGAACATGTTTATTGGTTACATAGTATCGGCACGGTCAAAAGTGAAACCAAATCTGAAGATCCCTTCAGAGAGCAACAATATTACAAAGTTAAACTTCCCACCCCAGTGGTATGCAATTAGTTATGTTCCCCAATAGAAGAGTTTGGCGGGCTTTCTAACTAAATGTTCCCGCCCCTATCTAACTGACAGAAATGATCTTGGTTCCCATAGGACAGTAAAATGGTTTGACTAGTAGAAATCCTCCATCCCCCCTCCCAATCTTGTGGCAACTTAGAACGAGGAAAATGGCTGCAGCCAGGTTCGTTGTAGAGTTGACAGATGTGCTTTGACATGCTAATGATATATAATAATAAAAATGTTATACAATATCCTAGTATCTTTCTAATAATAATCTTTTACCTCTTCAGAACACTGCCATAGAGAAAAAAAACAGAAGCTGTGTTTTTGGTATACTAGGGCTTAAAGGATCCTTGCAAATAAGAATTAGAAACTAGATCTGGGTCAAGGTCTAGATCAATTCAATTCAATATTTACAACAATAGACTATTATTGTTTTCTATTTCTACTGGGAATTATAAATTGGAGATAAAGTTAGATTGTTATCCTTATTTCTTGAGTAAATGAAAAGATCTAAATAGACCACCTACTATAAAGGTACTTCCTTAGATGTTTTTCTCATATCATTTTGTTGAGAGTTAGGCCTCATTGCAGTTGTTTTAGATACAAGTAATCCTTGCCTTACAATGATCACTGAGGCTGGAACTTTGGTCGTAAGCATTGCAGTCGTAAGTTGAATCACCATGTGACATAAATATATCAAGTACTAAATAACCCCTGTGCCACAACAAACTAGGTAGGATCTAAAGATGTGGTTGCATCTTAGGAAGTTTCCTGGTAAATCAGGTGGAATGTACTTGCACGGTGGCATGTTCATTATCATAATTGTTATAAAGAGATGAAAGTAAAATTATTTTGTAATAAAACTTAAATCATTTTTATTCACAGAGTATTTAAACGGTTCAGAATCCACCCTAACATATCATAGTCTAATGTTCTGCGCAAGTAGGAACACTGACCGAATTCATGCCTACACAAAGGTGAGAAATTAATTTTGGATTCAAAGAAGCACAGGTAGAATTCTGATTGGTACAATATTTTCTATTTGTTTTGCTCGTGACTGTTCTATACCTTCTAAAAAGCATTCCTGAAAGAGTATAAAACTATATGCTGTAGAATGGAATTGCATCAAGAAAGCAAAGAGGCTGAGTTTTGAGGGACATAAGTTAGAAATTGGCAGAAACTGAGGAGAGAAGTTGCAGAAACATACTTATTTTTTGCTGTTGGGAACACCTTTTTCCAATTTACATCAGTTCTGTGCCTTCTCACTGAATCATTCTCCTTTAAGATTGACCACTGGATATCTCAGTATCAACCATATTACTATCCCAATCCAGCTAGTGTACAATTCCTGGAGCATTCCATGATTAGTCAATATAATCCACTATGAGTACTGGCTTTCCACCCATTCTTGCCTTCCCCCTCTATGTAATGTAATTTTCAACTTAACTAAGATAGTTGTTGCCTGGAATAGTCCCATAACCAGCACCTTCCTATGATGTTGCTATCATGTCCTCAGGACATCTCTGTTGTGGGAAGAGATATTGTGGTCTCTTCAAAGCAGATTCAAGCTCCATCCCTACATGACCAATTGCTCTAGGATTGCTGTTTTCTCCACAGATACTACGTTTGTATCTTCAAATTTTCCCATGTCCCCATTCTATTGTAAGTATAGGAGATCTACCTTATCATTATTTAATATTCAGGCTGAATTTGCAGAAGGCAACAGTTAATGTCTTTTGAGATCTTGATACAATCAGCTTCTCCATTTATTATCAGGTCGGAAACCAACTACTAATTATTCTTTCAATTATTCCATTTCTATAATGAGCAAATTCCTTAAATGGTGTAGTTTCTTAATGATGGAAGTCCAACCATCTCAGATTGTGGAAGACCCAATTTACAAGCTGCAAGACATGTAAATCTTGTCCTTTGAAATCTAATCTACAAATCTGGGCTGTATCTAAAAGGGTGATTTTGTTATGAGTTGGCAAACAACAGTCCTGCAGATCAGTACCTATTCTATTAGAAGATTTCTAGTTTTTCTTTGTGGCCTCCCTTTGTGTCAGGAAACTGTATGGCTTCAGTCACCTACTAGACAATCTTTAGAAATCGTTATTCAATCAGTATATGATGATCACATCCTTCTCTAAGTAATAAACTAGTCATCCATGTGTGAATTACAGGTTCCAACCGAAGAACCAGTTACTTATCTATGACATCTATCATAGATACCTTGTGCTCCACTTGTGATCAAATGATAGTGACCTCAATTTTACTATGTCAGTCTCTGGGAAATGAGAGGGTTTAATGTGAGCTGTGCTGAATACAAAAAGTGGGATGCACAACAAGAAATCCATATTCTACAAGTTTCCAAATTGCCTTTACATAGGGAAGTAACTTGTACCCAGAGATGCAATCCATGTGACAGATGGCCACTTCACTCACATGTAAATAACTAATTCTTCCTTGAAACCATTAGCAGGCTGAATAACTTCCTGATCTAAGGTACTAAGTGTCTGTTATTTGATTATCCAGGATGGAGAACCTCTCAATTGCAATTTCATTCCACTTGATATAAAAGTAGGCAACTGGGAAGATTTACCAGCATGTTTTCAACAAAAACAGAACCAAACACTGGTAAGTTTTATTCCATGATTCTTGATAAAGCTATAAATAAAACCCAAGCTATATCTTTTGACTATATTAACCTAAATTGATTTCTTAGTGTTGTTTTTGTTTAGAGATACCTATTTCTTTTTTTTCTTTTTGGAAGAAAAACACTCCATACATTTTCTGCACATAGACTAAATTATTTAATTTCATATGTACTCATACTACTTATTCATCATGCTTTTCCCTTTCATGGTAAGTAACATTATGCAAGCTCTAGAAGAAGAGTAACAGATAATATAGAATGGAATGGAATGGAATAGGGAATAAGAATGGGAATGGAATGAATTACTTTAATTGCTGTCTGATTAGACACAAAGAATTTGTCTCCGGTGCAGAAGCTCTCAGTGTACATGCAAAGCAATAGAGTAATAATAATCATAACGATGATACCAATAAGAGGAGTAAGCAAAGGAATGTAAAAGCGTAAGTTAAGAAAAGGAATGAAAATAAAATTGAATTCAGTTTATATTAATACCATTAATTGTTTCCACTAAATTCCTTTTCCAAATTATTTTAATGGCTTTAAATTTCTCACTTCTCTTTTTTAGGATCTCATCTGTTCGGCCATAAATTCTCAGCCTTCTTCACCTCTTCATATTCACTCTTCCTTCCTATATTTCTTTAATAATTCAAGCCTATTTCGTTCTCTATGTACAAACCACTTTGACGTATTTCTTTTGTACCGATCACTTGCTTTTGCATTAATTCCACATTTATTATCATTTGTCTCTTCTTGTTTCTTTTAACCTGTTTCCATGACATTCAAGTTCAATGCTTTTCCTGAAATACTGACATTTTCATTTAAGAAAATAGACAGAAGCACACTCTTATAAATAGCTTCTTTCTTTTTTGCTTCCTTTTCTTCTTTTGACAAACATTCCCCATGTTAGACTACGTATTGCTCACTATCTTTCTACCAGCATACGTATAGTTTGAAAATTCCATTTCCCTATTTTTCTGGTATGCTGTAAAACTACATAAATTCACTTTCTTTACTACTTTAGCTTTTAGCCATTTACATATAATTTGCAATTTTTCATTTTATTTCCTCTGTAAACAAATTACCTTGGTCTTTGATATACTAGTGGTCAGATGTGTATATCCCAGTGCCACACACGGTCTCGTATTGTTTTGCAAACCAGGCCCGTGGCCAATATGACAACAGTATCTGCATACATAACCGCATGCACATTTGTGTCCCCAGCCACTGTCTCAAGATTTCCTTAAGATTTATCCATAAATAAGTAAATCAAAAGAACATCAAATGTCCTATGTCTTATTTCATGTTTGATGTTGAACCGTTTGTTACGTTTCCTCCTTATTGTCACATATGCTTTACTACACAATCACATTGATTTCATTGATGTAACTAACCGTTTGACTTTTTGAATCTGACAGAATATACAAAAACTTACAAATATTTGTTTCTGAAAACACAAAGGAGGCTCTAGTGGATTTTTTCCCCTTCATATTGCAATAACATCTGAAAATAAGTGTTCACTGCTGCAGTCATCAGCTGTCCCTGTATTACAAAGCAAAATATGAAATAATAGGTGCCAATTAATATTTTATGACCAAGTGTATGTATGTACAAGATCGACACAGCATTTTCTATTTTCAGAGGTGTCAAAGAGACACTTGAAATTCACAGGAGTCTTTCTGCTAAATGCAAACGTTAACATTTGTACTGTGCACACAAGGCTCACAGGCTTATAATGGAAGATCATTTCTAGTGGAAGAGACTGAGGCTGAGAAAATGGTTTGGTTAAGGTAACCTAGTGTAATAAATGTTTGAAAAAATAGAATTTGAGCAAAGAAATTCATGCTTGTCACCCAGTATCAAGCCACCGGGCTGTATCTATATCCATGATTGAATCGATGTATACATTTGCTAACCTCTAGTCTAGATCAAGACAGAATAATCTGTAGCTGCGCAACCGTTGACAAGCATAGCTCTTAGCATGCTGATTGAAATGGATGGGAAAAGAAATCTATCAAGAGAATTTAAGTTCCAAGGCTAAGTCCTCTTTGAAATTACACTGATTCTCACCCGCTTGTCTTTCTCTTTGCTGTGATTTGTGATGAAATATGATGAGGGGCTGGCTCAGTAGATAGTTTCTGATCTACAGAGATTGGATGTTACTGAGTTCTCCTCTGCTTCTGGAGTTCCATATCCCATCAGTGCTGAGGCTGCTGCCATGTTAAGGAAAACTTCATTTATCTTAGAAACGGTTGAACGTTTGTACAGGGTAAATGACATAAAGAGCATGTCATTAGTTGAAATGATTTTAAAACCCACTGTTATCTATTGGGTGTATGTTTCAAGGTAAAATCTTCACAGTTTTAATGAATAACAATTCTTTTCTAGATACTGAGGTTTGTGAGAGAATGGAATAGTCTAACAGCCATGAAGCAGAGAATTATCAGAAAAAGTGGCCAGCTTTTTTCTAATCCTGTTCTTGCTGCTGAAGAAATACTGTGTAAACAACAAGCCAAACTCACCAGTACCAAACGGTGTGTGCTGCTGATCCTCTTCCCTACTCTAGTCTAAGTATTATGTCTCAAGCAGTTATATTATACTTTCGTCATGATGATGCTAGATCAGAGGTCTTCAAACTTGGCCCTTTTATGACTCGTGGACTTCAACTCCCAGAATTCCTCAACCAGCGTGCCTGGCTGAGGAATTCTGGGAATTGAAGTCCACAAGTCATAAAAGGGCCAAGTTTGAAGACCCTTGTGCTAGATGAAGTGACAGTCTTTCTTCTTTTTAAAATGTCTTTGTATCCCAAGTGCTTTTTGAACTGCATAGTTGAAAAAAAAAATCAACAGTAAGTGCTTTTCCCAACAATAGTGGAAAGTTTCCTTCATAAGGTTTGCATTTTCTATTACTACTTGACCTTTTTGATAGTCTTATCACCAGTTCAGGCCTTGCTGCGAAAAGCCAAATTGGACAGTGAAATGCTACCAGGAGAAGGGATAGGTGGATTATGTTTGCCATTTTGGGGTGAGATACCATCAATATGCAGATGATACCCAGCTTGATATCTTTACCCCAGGCCCCGGAGTGATGCTATATAGACGTCTTATCCTAATGTTTGGATACTAATGAGGACTGGATGGGGCAGAATGAACTCTGACTCCACCCTACCAAAACAGAATGGCTATGGATATTTGAACCCTCTGAAGAAAAAGTTCTTCCATCTCTAGTTCTGGATGGAGTGTGGCACTACCCCAGAACACCAGGTGCACAGTCTGGGGGTCCTCCTAAACTCAGCTCCTGCTTGAAGAGTAGGTGGCAGCCGTGGCTAGGAGGGCCTTTGCACACCTTCAGTGGTGCATCAGTTGCACCTATATTGAACAGGGAGGCCCTGCTCAGAGTAACTCACGCCCTTGTAATCTCTTGTTTAGACAATTGTAACATGCTTTACACGGGGCTGCCTCTGAACAGGGCCCAGGTTGTTGGGGGCAATAGGCTGGGTCTGTAAACCGCTTAGAGAGAGCTGTAAAAGCACTGTGAAGGGGTATATAAGTCTGAGTGCTCTTGCTGTTTGGAAATTTCAACTGATGTGCAGGTAATAAATGGTGCCAGATATGCCGCACACATAGCACCACTTTTGCATGAGATGCATTGGTTACTGATGTGTTAAAAGGTGTAATTCAAGGTGCTAGTTGTCAGCTTTAAAGCCCTATATGGCTGGGGACCAGATTACCTGAGGGGTTGCCTTTTTCCAAGAGTCTCTACACACCCAACCCAATCTAGCAGAAGGGGCATGCTGCAGATCCCATCAGCAAAATAGTGTCGACTGGCAGGGACAAGAAGAGCTTTTTCTACAGTGGCTCCAGCTCTGTGGAAATTAGAATAACTCCAGCCCTGTTAGCCTTTCGTAAGGCCTTAAAAAACTGGCTATGTTCCCACGCCTGGGTGTTGATTGTGTCAAGGGTCACAAGGGTCCAGTTTCCTGGCTATATTGCTAACTCGCCAAGTATCTTGCCTGATACGTATATTTGTTTTGGATGTTTTTATTGTTTTTTATAGTTTTAAAATGTTTTTAATGTCTCAATTGTAATACATTTTGAACTGTAAGCTGACAGTTCATTGACTGAGATGGGGAACTATAGAAATTGAATAAATAAAAAAACTTAACTAAATAGAACTTTTTTAAATCCGGTCCTGGCCCTAAAATAGAACTTAAAATCTCATTCTTGCCGTTGAACATATACTGTAGACCCCACAGATTCCACATGGGTTGCGATTAACAATCAAGTAGCAGATCATCACTCAATATATTTGCACAGTACAGATGTAACTTTTTCACCACATATTATGATAAACAGCTTGTGTGAAGCAAATGTTCTACAAATATATCATTTCTTTTTCCAGATTTGAGTGCTAAAATATAATCGTGAATAGAACATAAATAGAACAAGCCAAAATAATGTTTTAAGGAATTAAAAATCTTGAATTCATAATCACTCTTTAAGATATAAAAATCAGAAATTCCTCATAATGTATTTTTTAGTTTGGGTTTTTTTTTTAAATCATGTTTATAACTCAGAATGGAGTAGAAAGTAATGGGGATATAGTAATAAACCTTCAAAAGAGTAGCGAAGCTTTCTAATTCTCTCTTTCTCTAATAAGAATAACATTAAAAAATAAGTTTTACCTCCAACTAGGCTGCTGAAATAAAGCTTGTAAGTAAATAAGTCTATTTTTGAATGTTGAGGATTTGTGGAATCCAAAGTTCATATACTGAAAACAAATTTCTGGCTTCCACGCCTACAGAGAAAAACCTTGTTCTGAAATTCAGAATCTGTTTGTTCAACCACTGTTTTATACATAGCTCCTTCCCAATATAGACTATTTTGGAAATCTTGTGAGAAAAAGATGGATTCAGAAGCTAAAATCTGTTTCCTTGTTAAGACGTCCTTACCTAACATTAACATTTTAGAAATAACTTTTGGTAATTAATGCTGTAACTTGCCCTTGGAAGGGAAGGATCACCTTGTGGGGGGCCATCTGTTTGTGAATACTGCACCTCAGTTTTTAGCCTTTGCTCAAAGCTAAGAGCAGAGTTTAATATTTTAGGTACATGACAAAAGAAGACATTGCCAGAGCTTCACTGACAAAAGCTGACAGCAGTGGCGGTAGCGTTCGTATAATCACCAAAACATCCAGAGAAGTTAAAAGAGTCCAAGGAACCTCTGTTGGAAAAGAAGATAATCATTTTATAAAGTAAGTTTAGTCGTGCTCTGGAGAAGAAAACAGAAGTACTGTATGACATTCTAATAAAGCACTTTTTCTTTTCTGTTCAATTGTGTCCAGTTCTCAGAGATTGCCTGGACAGGTCCCTGCTGTTTTCTTGGGTTTTTTTCAGTTTTTTTTCCAGAAGTGATTTGCCATTGCCTCCTTCCTAAAGCTGACAGAAATTAACTGGCCCAAGATCATCCACCTGTCTTTGTGCCTAGAGCAGAACTAGAACTCACATTTTCCCAGTTTTAGCCTGATGCCCTACTCTGTACTCCAAATTGGCTCTGTAATAAAGCACTTAGACCTTGATAATTGAAATTATTTTCAGAGAATTCATGCCCAGCAACTTTGGTGCCTCTTGGAGCCCTCGTCTGATAAAATGAAGTACTAGCACACTGCACTTTTTAGTGGCAATGCTATTAGTTAGAAAATGCCTCCCTAAGAGAAACTTTCCTGGTATCTGTTATATTTTTAGCACGTGATGAAAATGTTTCTGATACCTCTAGTCAGGGCTTTTTTTCTCATAGAACGCCCGGAACAGAGTTCCGGCACCTTTTTTGGATGGAACCTTATAGGGTAGGCAAGGCGGGTTGTATGACGTGTGTGAGTTCCGGCACCTTTTTTTTTTAAAAAAAAAGAAAAAAAGCACTGCCTCTAGTATAGGGGTAGGCAACCTTGGCTCTTTTATGACTCGTGGACTTCAACTCCCAGAATTCCTGAGCCAGCATGGCTCAGCTTGGAAACCTCTCCCTTTCCCCTCAGCATGGCTGACTCAGGAATTCTGGGAGTTGAAGTCCAGGAGTCATAAAAGAGCCAAGGTTGCCTACCCCTGGTCTAGTATTTAAACTTTAATAGACATTTTGGATTCTGGTATTCAGTTTGCAGTTGACAACAACACTTTAAAAAACAAAACAGCCAAATGACTTGGGCAATTTCTCTTAAAAACAAAACAAAACTAGAACAATAGCTGTTTTCTTTGGTAGCAGGATCACCAGCTATCATAAGCTTTGTCTTTCTGTCTTCTCTATACAGGAAAACATTTTTAGCCTCTTGTCTTTTCTATTCAGTGGATCCTTTGTTGATTTTATGCAGGAGCCTTAAAATCATTTCTTAGTTGGACGCAAACCAAAACTGAAACGTCTTTTTGTAAATCAAGTTTAACTTAGATTCAAAAGAATCTGACAGGAAACCAATATTAACTGTGTTGGGAAATATGTGCAAAATAAGGCCTTACTTAGTGTTATTTGATTGAATCATTCCTTGCTATACTATGGTAAGCCTTTTATAGCATAAATATGCAACATTGTAAAGGATGAACTCTGCACATGATTTTTAAGGGGCATGTTAGGAATTCCATAAATATAAGAAAGACAAAGAATGAATATATTCAAATCCAAAATAAAATATGCTTAAATTCAATTAAATAGAGGTAAATGTATTTAATAATTTCTGTTCCATTTCTTAATAAAAATACATTTTGGCAGGAAATCTAAGGATTTTTCCAAAGGCAGCTAACATATTATGTGGATAAATGTCTATTTCTAGATTTTATAACTTGCTATATATGCCAGGAATAGCCATAGGCTATTCAGTAATGGTGATAATATTATCCATTCAGTCGAATCCGACTCTTGGCAATTCTATGGACCGGGTCTCTCCACATCTTCTGATCTTGCACTATTTCTTTTGAGTTGTTCTATATTCTTTCAGCTTTGATGGTGTCCAGCCACAGTGTTTTTGGCAGCCTGGTTTCCTTTTGCTGCTAAGTCTTCCAAACATAATTGCTTTCTCCAGTGAATATTCAGTAATGGTACATAGTTGAAACAAGTTGGCACAACTATTTCAATACAGTGAGGAGGTTGCAATTTAACCAATGCTTTCAGCCTTTTGGGAGGAGGGGGGGGCAGATAGTGATAGGATCAGAATGGGAGATGTCTAAGAGGTAAAGCACCCATTTTCTTACTTAAATCCACTAACTCTTCTTTGTGCAGTTAACATTCAACCATTTTGTTACCAAATTTCAGACACAATAATCTGGGGCTGCTGAAATGAGATGATAGGGTACATTGGTCTGCAGATTGCCTACTCCTGTCCTAATGAAGCAACGGGATACAAATGTAAAAATAATCTAGGCATTTATTAATTTATTTACTGTATTATCATTTCTGTTTTAGGTTGCCTTCAGAAGATGGGAGTTGTCCAGATACCAGTTTAGTTTCTGACCAGATTGTTGCTGTTGAGGAATTTTCATCAAGCAAGGGCTATTTACAGGCGGTAGATAATGAAGGGAACCCACTTTGCCTAAGCTGTCAAAAGCCAACAATCCAAGTTGAGGCAAAGTTAACCCACACCGCCTGGGACACACGATTTTGTTCTCTTAAATGCCAGGAAGATTTCTTCTTCTATACTAATAATAGTTACTTGAGAACTAAAGTTTTTGAAATAGAACATGGAGTTTGCCAGTTATGTGGGTTAAATGCCCAAGAACTCTACCTTTGTGTCAGAGATGCCCCAAGGAGTCAGCGTAAAGATCTTTTGGAGAAGTCGTGGATGTCCAAGCTTCCTTTGAAACAGGTGAAATATGCTGCTGGAATACAGGAAATTGTTCTGTGATGAATGAATGAATGAGTGAATGTATGAATGTTGATTTTAGAAATATAGGGGAACTTTTAAAATCTTTTGGAAGAAGCAATTTGATCCCTTCTGATACTCATTAAAGAAGCCTTTTTTCAGGCTTCCAAAAAGCCTCGAAGTTGCAGTTGCTTATAGACATCCACACACTGATTAATGCCAACAAGAAACAATGGTTGGAAACTGATCAAAGAGAGAAGCAACCTGGAATTAAGGAGAAACTTCCTAACAGCGAGGACAATTAACCAGTGGAACAGCTTGCCTTCAGAAATCGTGGGTGCTCCATCACTGGAGATTTTTAAGAAGAGACTAGACAGTCACTTGTCTGAAATGATATAGGTTCTCCTGCTTGGGGGGGGGAGGCTGGACTAGAAGACCTCCAAGGTTCCTTCCAGCTTCTATTCTATTCTATTTTTTTTTTTTATTCTATTCCTAAAACAGCCGCAACTTTTCCTCCAGGAAGTCTAAACTTCCTTCTTTACTTTTTTAACCTCTTCTAATAAAAAGGTATTGGACTTGCACGCGTGAAGGTACCTTTTCTGAATTATTTTCAAAGGCTGATAAATTAAAGCTGTTTTCATGTAAAACTGCTATTTATACAATAGAATAATTAGATTACATGGTTATTGTTATGCCGTAAATGTTATGAACATTCATTATCAGGCCCAAGCATTCAAAGAATGAAAATTGTGCTGTTCAAACAGCTTGTTACTTAGCAAGCCCGGCTGCTCTCTGAACACAGCAGATGTAAGCATGGTAACTGTAGTCTCAATCATATTCCTTTGCAGAATGAATTAAATTTATTTTAGCCTTTCAGAGACAATATAGCAGATCAAAACAAGAGTAGGAAATCAATATATGTATGGGTTTTTTTTAATCGTGTCTCAAAAATATTAGGTAATACTAGAATGTCATCAGAATTTATTATTTTATAGGTTTGGAATGACCAGTTTTGACATTAGTCACAAATTTTTGATAGCAGAATTTAGCAGCTATCCCATATGAATCTGCGTTTGACACTAACAGCTCTGCTACATTTCATTTCCAACTCATTAGGAATACATTTGGATCTCCAATGTATCTCATTTCATGCTTTTAGAATGAAGAATAGCTGTCTGACTTGCTTTTTGAAGACAATTACACTATTAAGATGCATACTTGCTGCTCTTTTATATCAGTTTAAAAATTAAGAACAAAGCTGATTTCCCTGTGTTTGGTCTTCACAGATGTGACTTAATGATATTTGAACTGACATATAATTTATGTTTTCCTTAAATTAGCACTGCTATTTTTGTGGAACAATTATTATTTCTGAGGCACACAGAAAATTGATTTGACTAAAAGCAACAAAAGCATACTGGAAGAAAGATATAAGTATATGGCTCATTTCCACTTGTAGACGGACATGATATCTGATTGCCACCGATTCTATTTTATTTCAGTTAAATGAAATTATACTGAACCCAACTGAGGGCCATTTCTGGCAAGTGGATCATATCAAGCCAGTTTTCAGTGGGGGTGGACAATGTACTCTAGAAAACTTCCAAACACTATGTACAGTTTGTCACAAGGAGGTAAGTACAGGATGCAGCAGCAAAATACTGTAACTTTCATGAATTTTCAACATTAAGAAAACTTAATATTTTCTTTGTACTCTGCTGAAATTGATTTCATATGCTTTTTTTGTATATTTTTAGAGAACAGCAAAACAAGCAAAAGAAAGAAGCCAAGTTAAAAAACAATGTGTTGCTTCAAAATATGCATCAGACATCACAAAGTTTTTTGTAAAATTATGAAAGGTTTGATGAAATGGATGTCGCAGCTTGAATGAGTTGATATCAATCAAGTTATTTCAAATTAAATCTTCAGGCTGAACTATTTTGTAAGTTCCGCAACTGGAACTGATTGGAGGATAGGTTATATAGATTATAATTGGTATAACAACCCTTGCTGTTAAACAAAAATATCTTTTATAAAATTAAACATGTACATTAGTTCATCTCAAAATAAACTGGTACTTTTATATTGACTTTTTCCTAATTTATATAGATTGAAATATATAAAATCTTTTTTCAACATATTACCCTAAAGAGCAAAATATGGATGTGTGTGGGTGTGTGCATGTGTGCATGCATAATAATACATTGAGGTTAGCATTCAAAACTGGTAGTTGTCCAGGATTTGATATCATCCAATACAAGTAGAGGGGTGTGATTGCTATATTAACTACCAATAATTTTCCTGACTATACCGTATCATATAAAACAAAATGATTTAAATAAGCACATTGCCATCCAGGCCACAATGAAGTGAATTTTATTATACATAATATCTATATTTGTATAGCTGTAAATAATTTAAATCCATTGATTTATTAGGTTTCTAATCTACTCACTTTACATGAGCATAAAACAAGGCTGCGAAGCAGTATTGCATAATTTAATTTACACTTAATAATACACAGTTCTGTGATATTTTCGTTATCATTGTAAAGCAATTTTTTTTTTAAAAGAGGAATTGATCACTAAGTAAAGATGAGTAACCCCCCAACATCTATCAATGGACAAGGGGCTTTCATGGAAAAGATTAAAATCCCATAAACATTATGCATGTTGAACTGTTTCACGTCGGCATTACTCTTGAATATTATCTTCACTTCCAGGAGACTGGATAAACATCTCTTTAATGTAGTTGCTTTAACGTGACAATGTTGCTAGAGTGGATGTTAAAATCAGAAGAATGTCGTGTCGGATGAGAAGGCACCTGCAAGTCGGAAATCATCTTTTGTAAGAACACTGTACATCCGCTGAGGCAAAGGTTTGGAGTAAGGAGCAGGCCGTGGAACAGTTGTACGTAAAATAACCTCACGTCCTGCAGGGGGTGGAAAATCTGAACTCATTCCAGAATTCAAACGTTTTTCATCCATAGAGCCTGATCTTTTTAGTTCCTCCTCATAGGGCATCATTGTGGCAACCTAAAAGAAAAGAGAAGCCTCAGCACTGGGACATTTTACTGGATTCACATTTGTTTTTGAGATATGATAGCATAAAAACATAACAGTCAATAAATACTAAGTGTGACAAAGCACAACATTCACTGGGATATAAGCTTAAGGAAAAAGCATTTGTTCTAGAGTTTCTGCTTACAAAATTGACTAGCGCTGATACAAACACGTAAAATATATGTTCTGCACCCACAAGAATATCTCACTGAAATGCCAACAGGAGGCTTTAAACAATTTCACACTGATTTGTCCAACAAAGAAAGCAATTTATGTTATGAAACAACAGGCAATTGAACACTGTGATTCAATCAAATGATAAAACTGGACTGAAATTATTTTGCTCTGACTTTCTGAATGGTGGGATCTGTAACTAGAGAAACCTACTTTAATTAGACCTGGTATCAGGATGTCATCCATTAATCGGACATTTTTATCTATTCTAACTTATGCTGATCCTAACACACCTAAATGAAATTTTAAACTGATTTGAAATATTGTGCTTCAACAGAGTTTCTACTCAACCATCAAACTATAACTTCTGCTTGGTTCAAATTAACTGACCAGCTACTTCACACAACTGTAGTGTACTACTCTGAAAATGAAGATATTTTTTTTTCCTTCCAATATCAAGAGGTAAGAATTTGGGGGGGGGGGGGAAACTCCATAGAGAAAATAGCTTGAAAACAAATGGATAATAGTTTACGATTACTTTTATCAAGCAAAATGGAGAACCTATCATTTTATACAATGTATATTTTAATGCCATCAGAATTTGGTGCTTGAAATGCAGACGTATGAGTAAGATACAGCTATATTAAACAAAAAAAGTTGAAAGTTATACACGTAAAAATCTAGAAACCCATTTTATGCATCCATTTTCAACAGTTTCCTTCATTCTCTAGTGATGTCAAAGCTCAGTTCATAAAAAAATGACAATGCTTTTAAGTTGTGCAAATAAGCCATATGCTATATGCTGCTGCAGCCTTCATACCCATGCACCTACATGAAGTTAGGCGGATGACTAGAAACAGGGAAAAAAATCTAGTTACCTCCTCAGATGATTCAGTCAGCTGGGTAAGAAAGAGAATCAATGGTGAAAGGCAAGTCAGAGATGACTCACATAGGGTTAAAGAGAGATTTCAGAACAGAGGGGCAGCAGCCTTACAATTGGATTTGTTGCTATCCATAGAAACGGATAAAACACTTGGAACACAAAATAGATCTAAAAGAAACTGATAATAGGACTAGCACAAAGTAAACAATTGCATCAATATAGTCAAGTCCATCAGATTTTGCCATGAAGCAGTTATAAACCCTGTCTATCCTAGTTCAGTAATTGATGGGAGGCAGGACTTTTTGACCTCTGTAGCCACACACATTTACTAATTAGGATTTCTAAAGGGAATTCCTATAAATGTGCATTCAACAAATCAACTCGCAAGATGAGTAAACAACCTATGCCAGGGGTAGGCAACCTTGGCTCTTTTATGACTTGTGGACTTCAATATCCAGAATTCCTTAACTAGCCATGCTGACTCAGGAATTCTGGGAGTTGAAGTCCACAAGTCAAAGAAGAGCCAAGGTTGCCTGCCCCTGGGGCCTATGCCAATGTATCTTTTGTGCATTAAAGTGCATGCAGGAGATTGTATCAATGTTTTTGTATTAATCCAATGTGTATAATATTAAGTAATAGCAATTGCTGGCTCTGTGCAATACAATTGTAAAGTGAAATTAGCAATAGCAATCCTTCCAATTCCGGTCACTGTTGCTAACCAAATTCCACAGTTACTAGGTGAGGCAACTTCCTTCTGGCTTCCCACAACTAAAATAAATAGGGTGGAATCCAGCAGGAAGCTGCAAGTCCCAGACTGGCAGTCAGGTAAGCGGCCACTGCAGAATGGGGGAGGAAGCAAAGAAAAGCAGGGAGGGAGGGTGCACAAGGTGCAAGGGATTGCGAACAGTGTGTGTGGTAAGGATAAAGTGTGTGCAAGAGGCGTGGGGTTGTACAAAATGCAGCATGGGTTAGGAAGGGTCTGCAAGAGTGCGACACGGGTTGGGAGGGTACGCAAGAGGCACGGCAAGTGTTTGAGGGGGTTGTGCAAGAGGTGCAGAAGATTTGGGGAGGTGCATGGAGGTGCAGCACAGGACAGGTGAATGAAGGGGAGGGATGGGGAGGATGTACGCCAGGTACATGAGTGAGGAAAAGGAGCAGTGCAGTAATTTCAAATAGTTACTGACTGACTAGTCATAGGTTTCATAGGCTCTCAATCTATGACTATTCAATAAACTGTTTGAATTATGATGGTGTTAAACTGAAGGGTGGTGATTATAAGTGGTCTTTGAAGTTCCAGCAGCCCCCCCCTCTGCAGTTCATAATCTGTACCCACACACATCCTGACTCCCACTGCATCGTTTAACCCAATAACCCTATTGCAGAAATGCCTGTGTAGATTATAAGAAGCTTGTTTTTAAAAGGTTGTTTTTAATATTAGCAATATATTAATATTGAAAGAGGGTGTCATGTTAGAATGGGTCACAGTGGTTCTCTATGATGCATCGATTTCTGTTCTAGCAAGTAAACCCAGCATAACAACACATGCTGCGAAGTCCTCAGGAAAGATTAAAATCCGTTTCAGATAAATACAGATTAATAAAGAAGAAACTATTAGCATTGGATGCAGCATCTGGATAGCATCATAAAAATGCATTTGGAAGGAACCAAAAGGCTTTGGACAAAGAGAAGCAAAGAATCCTGAACATGCTCTATTTATTGGTAATATCTAAACCAAAATAAGCCACTAACTTGCAGCAGTTAGTCTAGGAATGGGGAGAACCAAGTTGGTATCCCTGCCTATTCATGAATCTTATGGCTGGGCTGGTCACCCTCTCAGATCCACCCAATTCAAAAGGTTGGGGAGAATTATACCTGTTGCCCTAAATTCCAAGTCAGAGAGAAAATACAATGCCATCATAGTAGAATTGAAGCTGGTACTGATTAGGGGAGGGGGTGGAAATGCAGCATACGGTGACTTTTTTCCTGCGCCAAACAGCAGTATTTTTTGCTTTAAACGTCTGGTTGTGCACCACTTATAGTCTACTCTATGGCTTTTTGCATCCAAGCCTCAGCTTGACTATTTTAAATCATTCTGTGAAGATTTCTTCCATCTTGTAAGTCATGCTTTCTTAAGTCTTCACTTCCCCTCATACTTTTTCCATTTTTTAGGAACTTGGTAGCTCTTTAATTCTGTCCCTATTCCTCGTGCCATTACCTAATCCATCAAGTTGTTCCAGCCCTGGTCCTAAATCAATATCACACAGTGAGATGAATACAGGTACATTTTATAGGCTGCTACCGTCGTATAGTATGATTAAATATTAGGCTTGAAAATCATTCACTACTATTGCCAAAGGCAAACTTGATCTTGTTCTGGCATTCCTAATACGGTACCACCAGTATCACATCTTTTGAATTAATGCCATATCACACTAAAATACAGCAATCTGTTGGAATTTTTGTAAACATTTTATAAAACTACTTCCTGAAAAGAACAGGTTCTACCATTTTCTTATTTAATTGGAATTTTAACACAGAATTATATTTCAACCCTGGTCTATTTGGTCTAACTTTGCTTAGTTTTTAAATATTCATGCAATTTGGTTATTTTAGTTAGAACAGACTATCACGGCTATTTCTCCAGAAAATACACCTATCAAGTGTATTATGTAAAAGCCAATTTTCAAAACCTGGCATTCGAGTATTACAACAAAAAGAGCAATTGTTTTATAAGTATATTAGAGAAACTTAGCAGTCCATCTTACCCTTTGTG